AGATGGGAATACCCAACTTTAAAATCCTGGCTCCGCCACTGTTGAGGGGGACCCAGCCGTGGACAGCCTCGGTGGTGGCGGCGCTGAGCGCCGCCCGACGGCGACCTGCTCCGTCTCGACGTACCGGTGGATGTTCCTGAGCCGCACACCGCCGGCGACGACGACGGACAAGCACTCTCCACCGCCACGCGCCGCCGCCACCGCCTTCTTCTTACCATCGTCGCCGCCATCATCCTCGTACGCGTCGAGCCGCACCACCGCCGCACCCATCGACGCGCTCCTCAACACGCTGTACGCCGACGCCGCCAACACCAACGACAACGACGTGGTCGTGGTCACCTCGTACGCCAGCGACGGCACCGCGGCGCCCTTGGACACCGCGCACCCCATCGCCGCGGCGAGAACACAGGGGAGGAGCAAGAAACAGGGGATTGCCTCCTCTGTTTCCTCCTCCACCACCACCACCTCCTCCTCCTCCTCCTCGTCATCTTCTTCTTCTTCTACCTCTGGCCAAAGCAATGGAAATGCAAAGCTCAAGCTCCGCCGGCCAGGGCGGAGAGGGAGAGGGCCCCGCTGGCAGCGCGACCAGCGGGAGAGGAGGAGGAGGAGGAGGAGGAGGGGGAGGGGAGGCGCGCGGGCGGGTGGCGGCGGCTGAGGAGGAGGCGCCAGCTCGGAGCGGGAGGCTACGGCGGTGGCTCGGAGTGGGAGGCTGCGGCGCTGTCGAGAACGGGAGCGAGAGACGCGTTCGGTCGCGAGCGAGACCGCGTCCAAGGGTAGAGAAGATGCCGATTTTGAGGTCACGCACGTAATTTCGCGTTCGCTGGAGAGCTCAGCTCTGTGGGCTTTGGTCACGTCCGCTGTGGGCTGGATAGCCAAATGTGTGTAGCCAAATAGGAATGGACCCGGTTTAAGGCCACATTGTATTGTATAGCTTGTGGCTTTTGAAGTTATTTAGTCTATTTGGTACCCAGGCTGAACAGATATAGTGGCGCATTGCTCTTGCCCTAATAGAGATGCGAGCCCGAGCAAGAGGCCTGTCGTCTCTCGTCTGTAAAGCCCACACGTGCAAAAGTTGATTGCTGCTCACGCATGGATTGCTGCATGCAGTTCTTTCTTTTCCTGGCGCTCCTGATTAATTGAGCCTAAAGTTTAAACTGGCAGCTCCAAATAATTGGGCCGAAAGTTTAATGCTAATTCGAAGAGTAAACTGCACTGTGCCCACTGAATTCTTCACTTGTCTGTCTAGCACCCTTAATTTGTATTTTTCCGTTTCGAATTAAACCCCTCTTAATTACTAACTTGGTTCTTTTGGAACACAACATCATTGTGTTGTTAAACGGCGGACTTAATAACATTTTTCTTAGAACATCATTTTATGGGTATGAACTAGGTGAGGTAACATAAGCATATATTAAGTCATGCATGACAGAAGCTATCAAATACATAGTAGAAATGTTAATTCGTTTTTGTCAGCAAGATGCTAACCATCTGATATATTTAGTACTGTGTGCTGATAGTAATGGACTATAAATATACAGTATGATGTAGCTGGATTCGGATCGGTTGCAGTCACAATAGTGACTAGTGACTGCAACTTAACACTGCAGGGAACTTTGGGCGTCCATTTTTGTGATCAACGGTTTAGATTCATAGCTACAGTAACGTGAACAGTATTTCGTGCTACAGTACCGTGAACAGTACCCCGCATGATCTAGGCCGTTCAGCTTGTATCCAGGGATGCTACTGCTACTGCTTAAGTTGCAGTCACTATTGTGACATAGTGACTGCACCTGAGCCAAATCCGATGTAGCTACTATTATTTATTTTTCATAAGAAGCTTCCTGTCCTTGTTTTCCCTCCAAATATCATTACGTCGCAGAATTGTACTACAGTACTAACTTTTTTTACAAAGACAGAATTGTACTTTTGCACCAGATAAAGTACTGGTAGTACTCAACAACATTTTAGGGTTTCCAGGATGCGCCCATGACATCTTAAATCAGCAGTTATCGGAAATTCTATCGTCAACATCTGAAACTGGCCTAATTTAAAGAGCGTGCTAGACATAAGATGCACTCTCTCGCACATGGTCAGAAAGCCGAAGAGATTTTGCGACTGTGGGAACATGTTGCACCTAAAACCATGAGGTGACACTTGAGAACAAAAGGCGAGGTTCAAGGCTTCTTTCTGGAGGCAAGGGAGAGTGTGTTTCTGCAAAGTTTGTTGGGTTTGCACTTTTGCAGTGATTGCAACAAGAGCTAACTACAAACAATGCCAGGTACAGTATCGGACTACCAGTAATCAGCTAACACAGAACTGTTCAGCCTGCAGGAAAAGATTTCAGAAAAAGATGGTAGCATCTGATTTACTATTTCCCAACAATCCGTCGACACGCAGATGTTTCACTTGACCCGTTCATTATTAGATTCATTAATTGCTAGTTATAACAATTATTCTGTCTGTTTACAAATATATTACTAGCATTATTAGCCAAGTGGTATAGTAAACTTTGTAATCAAAGGTACTTATCCTAGCTACTATTCCACATTTAGAGATATTCTTAGCTCTACTGGACAATGGATTAACGGTCAAAATCACATTTTTCCGAGTCAAAACCAACGAGTATTTAGAGGGAGGGAGTTGTGGTTATCCACTTATCCTATCATTATGATTTAAGGCGGCTCTGCATTTAAAAGGAGTGTTCAACATGTGCAGCAGCAATCTTGTTCAACAGCATAGACAGAGAGAAGGAAAATTAAGGGAGAGAGACAGGGACTATCAAGCCGATAAAAGGAGCATATGTCCACAATTAGCACAGTACCCTTAATAGTCGACAGCGTCTCGTTCAAGAGAACAAAACGAAATGGAGAGTTCAGAGAAGCGACGCATCAACGAAAAGCCACACATGGATTTGCTCCCGGTGATGACTTGGATTATCGCCTTTGCTTTGCTCCCAGTGCTTATCTCCTTTGACACGTCGCACTCCACAGGTTTTGCCATTTTTCTCCTTTGACATGTCACCTTGATGGGACGTCAAATTTGGGTTTATTTCGCAGATTAGAACATCATGTTAGGATGATACTATCTAGGACGTCAAAGTACGACACTTTCTGAATAAAATTAGTAGTATAGCAAAGTCGCCCCCATCAGGCACTAAATGATAAATTGGCTTATGTGGGAGCAATCATTGTAGTATGTAGTAGGAGTACCATCTATTGTTCCTAGGGTTTGTTGCAATTGGGGAGAAAGGTGATTAAATTGGGCCACCTGGAGTAGTTCTTCAGCAACCTCTCAGTGCGGCCATCTTTGGGCAAGAGGCAGACCTTCAGAAGAGAAGCTTGACATGTTACCAAGCTTACAATGGCAGAAGTGTTCATTCCCCTGCTGAAATAAAAGGAGAGGAATCTGTTTGGAATCTGGGAATCTTTTCAGATTCTTGCACCAAATGAATCATATTTTTTAAACTGGGCCTTGGTATTTAAATTTGTGAGAACACAAGAATATACTAGTAGTATATGGCATGATCAATGCTGGCATTGGCATCAGATCAAATCATAATATTATTATCAATTGAAATATACAAGATATTGCTGGAATTCGATTCATCCAGACGGTTTGTCTGCAGTCTGCCTGACCCACAAGCAACAGCTTCACAGATCAGCATAAACAAGACGTTAACTTATCAAAACCAACTGCAACACATTTTTTTTCTTAGATAATGGAATTTTTAGAGAACTGCATTAAAACAACCAATCATCAGGAATACTACCTTGATCAGGGATAATACCCTACCTAGATCAACTCCAGGCAACAGTTAAAACTGCTGAATTTCCAGGTGAGATCTTGAATCCTGACGCTGGGCATTTTCACAGGTGAAAGCAAAAGCATTCCCCGTGTTTTGTTACCCGATCTTGTATGTCATGTTTGCATAACACAAAAGGAACCTCGACAAGAACAAGCACCCAAACGAATGAATGAATGAGTAAGGTGGTGTTTAGATCCAGGGACTTAACTTTAGTCGCTGTCTTTAGACACTAATTTAGAGTATTAAATATAGACTACTTACAAAACTAATTACATAAATAAAAGCTAATTCACGAGACAAATTTTTTAAGCCTAATTAATCTATAATTAGAGAATGTTTACTGTAGCATCACATAGGCTAATCATGGATTAATTAGGCTCATTAGATTCGTCTCGCAAATTAGTCCAAGATTATGGATGGGTTTTATTAATAGTCTACGTTTAATATTTATAATTAATTTTCAAACATCCGATGTGATAGGAACTTAAAAATTTTAGTCCCATCTATACAGGGCCTATATGAAATTATGGGGACTTATGACCTATCACTATCATGATACGGCCGAAAAGGACGGCTTATCACGTAACGGAGGATGATTGGTTCGGCACTGTCGTACTACTATTGGTCACCTCTGAACTTGTGTCCCTGAGACACACAAAAAAAACAATTTATAGCGGTGTCCTGGACCCACCGTACAGCACAGCATTTTTAGCTTTTGCAGAGTCCATATTTATTCATGTCCTTCTAGTGCAAGAACTTGGAACACCAGTAGGACTTACGACACCAGTAGGACTTACGGAGTAGTTTCTAAAGTTAGAAGTTTAGAAAAAAATTTAAAAGTCTATGTGTGTAGAAAAGTTTTTTTTATGTGATATAATGTGATAAAAAGTTAGAAATAGGAGGGAAACTAAACACGGCCATAGATAGACTGTACTGAGATGCTGAAAATGACGAAAAGGGTCGCACAAAATGGCCTTCAGCAGATAAGAGGCAGTGAGATATGGCAGCAACGGGTCCAACAGCACAGCGATTTCAAGTTGCTACGAGCTGCAGGGCCTGAAGAATTTACAGTCACCCATGTGCATCCTTCCAAGTACTAGGAGTTTGAGCAGGAAGAATCACAGCACATGGCGCGCGAAACCGGGCAAGATTTCGATTTGAAGCACGGATACGAGGAAGATGGCGCACACATACATACATGTACAATGCACATTACTCACCTCCATTGAAAGATCAGCTCAAAGCTTCCATTGATACACATCGAGCTGAAAGATCAACCCCCCAACATGGATATAAACGGAGCTATCTACAGCTTTACAGCGTGAGTGCGTGACCATCATTCAGTGGAAACAAGCGGCAGCTCAGCCCTTTGGTGGCTGCCGTTCATACTCAAATGAATTACTGACCTCTCCGACACGGTGCAAGCGGCTTGTGCCGCCCCGGTCGCGAACCTCGGCGATCGATCAGCCATTGCATCTCTCTTTCGCTACGCTATTGTACATCTCACACTTCTGTGTGGCAGAATTTGCCGTCGATTCTGTTCTGAACTGCCTTGATTGCCGCAACCCGGGCAGCCGTGGCCGCTCTATTGGCGGCCATGACCGCCCGGTTCACCTGCTCTTCCACCCTCGGGAGGTGGAAGGCGTTATCCGCCGCCCTTTGCGCCGCCTGAAAAAACACAATGTACTTAGAGTTAGGATTCATGAAGCAAAATTGATGATGCGTTTGTCAACGTGTGCAAGTTAGTAAGATCGGGGGTGCTGTACCAGCACGGCACGCTGCACGGCCTGATCGGAGAGCGGCAATGGGTTCTTGAGAGCACCGGCGTCCCATTCGCCGGACCGCCTGTCGCCGTTGCGAAACGTGTACATCCCTAACCCCTGCTTCTTGCCTTCGTGCCAGGAGCCCTCGTAGCAATGGCCATTGGCGAAGCTGTACACGCCAAAGCCGTGGATCCTGTCCGCGAAGTACTCCCCCGAGTATCGATCACCATTCCTGCAATGGAATTTGGTTGAATTAGGATTTAGGAATCAAACAGTTTGGGTGTTGCAAGAATGATGCAATGGCAAGTGTTGAGATGGGGATTTTCACCTGAAATGGTAGCAGCCGAGGCCGTGCTTGACGCCGCCCTTGAACTCGCCGGCGTAGGAGCTGCCGTCGGAGCAGGTCTGGGCGCCGATGCCATGGCTCTGGCCGGCGGCCCACTCGCCGGCGTAGCAGTCGCCGCTGTAGAAGCGGTAGACGCCGTGGCCGTGGCGGAGGCCTTGCCTGTACTGGCCACGGTAGCGGCTGCCGCGCGCCCAGCTCTCGACGCCATGGCCGTCGTACTTGCCGTCGACCCAGTCGCCCTCGTACTTGCCCTTGCCGAAGAAGTTGTAGACGCCGCTGCCGCTGCACCGCGCCCTGTGGAACTCCCCCTCGTAGCAGTCGCCGTTGCTGTAGAACTCCACGCCCTCACGCACCGCGAGGCCGTCGACCTTCCCCTTCCCCTTCCTATGCTGGTGCTGCTCGTCGTCGTCGTCGTCGTCGCCGCCGCCGCCCTCGCCGATGAACCACCGGACGGAGACCGGGAGCCCCGTGGCGGCGCGGCGGACGCGGAGGCGGCCGCGCAGGCGCGCGACGGCCGCCGCCGCGGCGAGCGCGGCGGCGGCGGCGGCGGCGAGGAGGACGAGGTGGTGGGCGCCGTCGTGGCGGAGGACGACGACGGCGAGGGCGAGGAGGGGGAGCGCGACGACGAGGAGCAGCACGGACTGGGCCGGGCCGGGCCGGAGGCCGTGGGCCGCCGGGCGGAGCAGGGCCAGCTTCTTCCTCCTCCCCTGCGCCTTCTTGTCGTCGGGCTCCGGGTCGTCCCCCGCCACCGCCTGGAACGACGCCGCCCGCACGGTCGGCGACCGGAGCAGCGACGACGGCGTCCGCGTCAACTTGCCGCCGCCGCCGCCGCCGTGCCCGTCCATTCCCTCCGCCTCGTCAGTTTCCCCACCTCTCTCTTCACCTCACAATCTTGATTCTTGGCAAAGTCTACCTTTCCTCCTCAATCCTCAGATCGAAGCAGGCGGCGGGAGGAGGAGGAAGAAGAAGAAGAGGAGAGAAGGGGATAGGGAGGCGACTCTTATAACCACCGGGGGGCGGCGGTGACCAGCTTCCCTTCTCCGGCGAGCGAACTGGCGCCGCGAGGTGTCGGATCCTTGGCGGGTGCGCCCCGGACCCGGTAAGGAAGGCGACGGGCCGGTTAGACTGGCTGGTGGGGCCCAGTCCGGGTCGTGGAGGTGGGTAGGGGTTGGGTGGGGGGAGGTGGGACCCAGGTGTGGGGGATCCGGATCTGGGAAGGCGCGTGGCCTAGGGCGGGGGTGTAGTCCATCCAAGGCGGCGTCGGGCACGTGCCGTGGGTGGATCGGTCGGGACCTGCCGCGGGACGAGTCGCGTCGCTGGACGGTGTTGGGGTTGCGTCGGGGTTTGGACGTGCACGGCGGCTTTTTTTTTTCTTTTTGGTGATGGGATGTTGGGATGTGCATGACCCAAAAATGCCGTTTTATCAAGCGAGTAATCAGCAGGGATCACAATTCCGGATCAATAATCGCTTGTGAGCAGTATTTACGGATTTTATAGAAAGACAGTTGATACACTGATAAATTTCCGACAAAATTTTCAAACTCAGTTTGGTTTTTTAAAAACTTCGCCACAAAACTAAGCGGCTTATGTTTTTGACCTGGTCAAGTCTGGATTTTGTAATTTCCATATCAAATCCATAAAGATTCTAATCCATACTAGTATAAAAAGTGTAGGACGGTAGGCGGATAAACAAGGTGCACGAACAGAGATGATAGCCCATCTAATGGTGTATTGTGAGATCGTGAGAGCCAAGGACAATGACAAAAAGCTTTTAGGTAGTGTACTCGAGAAGATATGGTTGTTAATTTTGGTTTCATTGATCCTGCAACCCATGTAAAAGCAACTACCCGCTGTATCCGTACGAGTTCCAGTCAACGGTGTACTCTCTTGAAATCGGAGGGCATGCATTAGACACGATAATATGACAATTTATTTTTTTATACTCATCAAGTGGTTGAAAAGCAATATCCTGTTTACATCGAGTGATTGAAAAACATCAAATACCTATATTTGTGATTTATACATCCTCCTCAGGGATGATGTATTCCTTAAGATGTAAAGAAATGGTGGCAACACCACTGGACTATGATTCGAGGTAAGGAATGAGGTGGTAAGGGGTTGGGGGAGGGGGATGAAGGGGGCTAGGCTTAAAGGGATAGCTTGACGATGGTTACACGTGGTGAGGTGACGGTGGTATAGCCTTAGCTGCATAAGAAGAGGAGGGCGGTGGCCTGATGTTGGTAACGAGGGAAGTGGTGGTAGAAGTTCTAGGATGTGTTTGGCTGCTACCCTGATGAAGATTTGCCTGACCTATAGCAAGAGCCTAAGCAACACACTTATGTATTTGGTTGTCTCCTTAAGATTTACCAAACCTAGGATACCGAAAATGAACGCTTAACTCTGGCATGGTGCATGCCTGCTTCTACTTCATTGATTATTTATTGATGTGACTACTATCACCCTAATTAACGCAAGTGTACTTTTTATATTTAATATATTTACCCAGGCTTGGATCATCAACCAAACAACAAAATTTCAACATGCCTAGTCAAGAACTCAACACAAACATTCCCTCCACACATACACGTTTTTTCCAGACACACAACTCAGTTCACCAGCCAAACAAGCCCCTAACTCGCGGGAGCTACCGAAGTCATGGCAGGGATATCTTACTGAGTTAAAAAAAAATCAGTAATACAATGGCAGATCAAAGGAGAGGAAGAGGTATGGGTAAGAGCAATACAGCTACCGAATATGAGAGGCCCAAATTGCCAGCTAGGCCTAGGTAAGTCGTAGGAACATCCTTCAAGGTGCATGTCGCCTTAGAAACTGGGGGCGATCGCACGCGAAGCAGCACCGTGCCGAGACTACTCGCTCCACAACGCGGGCACATCTATCTTATCCTCACACCGTGCACCCTCGAACCCATTGAAGAACCTGTGGGTAGCTTTGGCTCCGTAGATTACGTTTGGTCACGAGACGAGCGATTATGGAGTCGAAAATCCTACGGTAGAAGGGTGAGGGAGAATGCCATGTCGACGCATTGTTGAAGGCATAAGAGGGCAGCCGAGAAGAGGAGTTTGACAAGTCTCGCCAGCGTAAGATGGTGAGGTGGAGAACCGCAATACAATCATAAGGAGCCGAGCTCTCAAAAAAAATCACAAGGAGCCGCGGTAAAAATAAAAAGTGGATTAAGCCGCGGCGTGCATCAGCGGACGGGCAAATGAACTGACACCGTGTTTAGTTGCAAACTTTTTTTTCAAACTTCCAACTTTTCCATCACATCAAAACTTTCCTACACACATATTTCCAATTTTTCCGTCACATCGTTCCAATTTCAACCAAACTTCTAATTTTAATGTGAACTAAACACACACTGAGCAAGTGACTGACATTTAACGGATTTTCAAATGGTTGGCTGATTTTCTTGTGTGTGTGTCACTGTGCTGTAATCTGTTTCGGATGAATCACGAGCTCATGTACTCTGGTCGTTGTATGAAATTCGAATCATGTTGAAACAAGAACAATGGAAATTGGCAGAACCGCACAAGCAGCCTTCCAACCCCATCTTGTTCGCTGGAGGTGAAATTGGACACATGTGAATACAATGACACCCCCATCATTTTCATCGCAGATCTATCGAATTACTTTCCCACATAAAAGACGGATGCAAAGATTGACCGATCAAGTACGGGCACTCTATGAACGGCCCACAGCGTAGGCTCGAATCTCTTGCGATCCACTCGTTTAGGCTAAGCCACATCCAGTAACGACAAATAAGTTAGGGAAAAATGGGTGAGTGAAGTGAAAGTATATGCATATCGTTGCAAGTCAAGAGAGAATCCTTTACCATGTGCCATGTTCAGATGTTCTCTTCTCCTCCTCTGGCAGACATGACTGACAAACCCAAGGGAATCTGCAAGCAGATCGGTTTTCAGACCCACTCCTGCGATGATGGGTGATTGCCGGATCGATCTGGAATTTTTTTTAAAAGTAATATGATTTTAATAGAAAATCGCAAAACTATAGGTCAGTTAGACGAAATCACAAGTTTAGCACCCTATCGAACAACCGTGGTTCGATAAGGTACCTATCGAACAACCACAGTTCGATAGGGTACCTGTCGAACTGCCGACAGGTGATTAAAAAAATTAAAAAAAGAGAAAAATCACTGTTGCACACTGTTCACAATACCCTATTGCACACTATTCACTGTAGCGCGCTGTTCACGCAACCCTATCGAACTTTGGCTGTTCGATATGTCCCTGTCTAGCATTGTAGTGATACTGTTCATGTAATTTTTTATTTGTTTTTGGACCACCTACCCTGTCGAACTGACGCAGTTCGACATGTAGCTGTCGAACTGTGGTTGTTCGATAGGTATCCCTGTCGAACCGCGGTTGTTCGACAGGGTGCTAAACTTGCGATTTCGCCTAACTGACATATAGTTTTGCGATTTTCCATTAAAATCATATTGCTTTTAAAAAAAATTCGATCGATCTGTCCCAACAAACACCACCGGGATGCGCACCGAAGCAGGTCACGACGACAATCATCGCTCCCTGGAAAAATATGTACTGTGTACTCCATCCGTTTTAAACAGCCTCGTTTATGTTTATACTTATTAGCTAAAATTTAATGTTTTAATTTTAAATTCAAGGTTGATTTTCACGGTTTTTTTTATTGAAGTTTATTTTTAGCCTTTGCTTTTAGATATCTAAGAACATGTATATAAAAGTTTTATTCATAAATTATTTTTCGTTTACAAATATGCCATTTGATTTTCCCCAATAAGCCAAACGATCGGACTGAAAATAAAAAATCAATCTATATTTATGGTACTAGATAATATATCATGCTATTAGTTGGTTTATTTTACGACGAATGAAGTGTTTTTGTTTCGCTTATACTTATACTTATAAGTCAAAAATTAAAATTTTAAATTAATTTGAATTTGAATTTTTGGTTTCCTCATCGTAATTTATTTCATAGCATTTGCTTTTGTGTCGCTAAGGAGATGTATATAAAAGTTTTACTCAAATAATTTTTATATTACTAATATACGATTTGGATAATAAGCATATTAATAAGCAAAACAATAGAGCTGAGAGTATGGTATAGGAGAAATATTAGTAGTACTACAATATTGCGGTAACAATAATCATATTCAATTTGGTTCTATAGTACATTGAGGACCATTTTAAGAAAATTATAATCAAAATTGATGTCACCTGAAAAGCCTGCAAACCTACTGCAACAGTAAAGCGAATGAAACAGTACGCGGTATCCTGCTGGCGGAATAAGTTCACTTTTACTCCCTTAATTAGTGGTCGAATATCAATCATACCCCTGAACTACAATACCGGATATTGACCCCCCAACTCTTAAAACCAGTGCAATTTGACTCTCTCGGCGGTTTTGGAGGGTGGTTTCACTGACGTGGCGTATACGTGGCAGCATTGACTCAATCTTCGTTCCACATGAAGCTAACGTGGCGCTTACGTGTAAAAAATAAAAAAAATATGAGCGGGACCCATTTGTCATACACAACAAAAAGGGACCCACTGAGATGTGGGTCCATATGTCATCATCTTCCCTTCATTCCTCTCCTCTCTCTCTCTCTCTCTCCCTTATCTCTCTGGATTGGATCGGCGGGCGAGGCGGCGTCGGGCGGGCGCTGCGACGACGACGTGCGGGCGAGGGCTGAAGCGGCGGCGGCCTCGGCCCGCACGCCCGGGCCTACAATGCCTCCAAGCATACCATCGTGATGCCGCCTGCGAGCTCGGCGCCCATAGCATCCGCGGCCGTCTCCTCCGCCGGTGAGCCATCGATGGTGAAGGAGCGGCTCCGCGTGCTGGGCCACCTCGTTCCCGGATGCCGGAAGCTCCCCGCGCCGATGCTGCTTGGGCCAACTATGTGGCCGCGCTGGAGATGCAGTCAAGGCCATGTTCTCATAGACCTCTTGGCCGCCACCGCCGGTGACGCGTGCGACAGGGGACGCCGCGTCAACGGGCAGCGAGCGGCACATGACGTCGGAGATCGAGCAGTACCGCCGCAGCGACGGCGGTGGGGCGGCGCGACCATGCGCTTGCGGTGGCGATCGATCCCCTCGTCGATTAGGATAATGAGAAGCTAATACACAAAGCCATTTTGATTTCTTTCAGCTTGGTTACTGGCAGCAATCGATTTGGTTGGTTGCCTTGTTGATCAATCGGAGAAGGAGGTGAAGGTCGCCGGCGTATCGCTATCTTTCCTATTTTTCTGTGTCGATTGCATCACGGCCCTACACGGGCTCGACGGCGACGCCGTCCGCCACGGGCGAGCTCACCAACGGTGGCCATGAACTGTGTCGCGTCGAGGTTGTCCGCCACCACGTGGCTGAATTGGAACCTAACGACGAAGCCGCCGGACACGAATGCGGTGACCTAGACGAGCAGCACGAGCTCACTCTCCTCCCCCTCCGGCGTCGGCCTCTCCTCGAGTCTCCTCTCCACCCTGGCAGTGTTATTGTCGTCGTACTGCCACTGCCGCCGCCGATCCGGTCCATACTCGCTCCGTACGATCGTACCTCTACCTCCCACTGCCGTGAGCCGCCGCCATTGTTCCCTTAGTCCTCCCATTACCGCGAGCCTCCGCGGCCGAGCCGCCGCCCCCGGTTCTGCTACGCCTCCATGCTGCCGACCGCCGCTGCCAACAAAGGAAGATAGAGTATAGGAGGGGAGTCGGTAACAGGGGGCCCCACTTTATTTTTTTAATTTATTTGATGACTGGGGTGTCACGTAAGCGCCACGTCAGCGAACCGCCCTCCAAAACCGCCGAAGGAGTCAAATTGCACCGGTTTTAAGAGTTAGGGGGAGATATCCGGTCTTGTGGTTTAGGGTCACGGATTAGGTTTCGATCACTTTTGAGGGTCACAAAGTGTACTTATTCCCCTGCAGGCTTGTCACTGTATATGGGCCAAATTCTCAATGGCCCTGGTTCGAGCAGGCCTAGCCCAGCACAGATCAACCCCTTTTTAGGCCCAAGTGTCTGCGTAGGCCCATCAAAAACCGATCCGGCCACTCTTCTCCGCGGGAAAAATCCTCCCAAATTCGTCCTCGACGCGGCGCGGCGAAAACAAAAGGAAAAAGCGAAAGCCGCGCGCGCGCGCGCGCGCGCTCACGCATCCCGCGCTTCTCCCCGAGCGCAACTCGAAATAAGAAGGGGGGAACCACTTCACGGATCAAGTGACACACGCACGCGCCCCACCTGTTTCCCCCATTCCGCGTTCCGACGCCGAGTCCGGCGCATGGAGCGCGGCGGCGGCGGCGGTGGCGGCGGCATGGACGCGCTCCCCGACGGCGTGGTGCAGCACATCCTGTCGCAGCTCAGCAGCGCCCGCGACGTCGCGGCGTGCGCCGGCGTCTCGCGCGGCATGCGCGGCTGCGTGCCGTTCCTCCCGGCGCTCTACTTCCCGCGGGGCGCCTTCGACGCGGCGGGCGGCGCGGCCGCGGCCGACGACGCCATCGGGCGGATGGTGGAGGCCGCGGCGCGGCTGGAGGAGCTCGTCATCTACTGCCCCTTCTCCGCCGCGCGCCTGCCGCGCTGGCTCGCCGCGCGGAGCGCCTCGCTGCGGGTGCTCGAGCTGAGGATGGACTCCGCCGTGTCCTCCGGCGCGGGATCCGGACACCTGGACTGCATCGGGGCCGTCGCGAACCTCGAGGAGCTGAGGCTGTGGGGGCTCACGATGACGCGCGCCCCGGCGTGGGGCCAGCTGGAGCGGCTCCGCGTGCTGGAGATCGTCGGCGCCGCAGTGCGGGACGTCGCGGTGAACGGCGCCGTCGGCGCGTGCCCCAACCTCACCGACCTCGCCCTCATCGGGTGCGAGTGCTCCGGCGCGGTGGCCATGACGCTCCCCCTGGTCGAGCGCTGCCGCCTCGACTTCGTCGGCTCCGGCAACTGCTCGCTCGCTCTCGCCGCGCCACTCGTCGAGTCCCTTGAAATCCAGGGCTTCTGCTGGATCTCGCTGCAGGGAGGCATCAGACTCAAGCACCTTACAATTGCCAAGAACACTGGTACTGGTACTAGCACAAGAACTGATCCTTTCTATCACCCCTGAATTAACATTAGATTTTTAGTTCATTTTACATGGTCTAATGCGATAAATTCCGGGGAAATTCTAGGGAGCGTGTACAATATAGAGATTGGGAAGCTCCCAGAGTTGGAGAAGCTCTCGCTGCGCGGTGTTCAGTGGAGCTGGGGAGCAATCAGCTCGGTGCTGCAGTGCGCAAGAGAGGTGAAGTATCTTGTGATGAAGATTGAGTTCTGCGGTGATCATGATACTCTCGAGCCATTCCCGGAGGTGGATCTTGTTGATTTCTTCAACAGCCACCCGAAGCTCATCAAGTTTGAGATCCATGGCGCCATGTTTGCTGCCATGTGCCAGAAGAACAGCCTGAAAAATGTGCGTCACATCACATCATACCACTTTCTTTCAATTTCAGATTGGTATATGGTCGCTGGTTTTGCTACCAATGCAGTTAGATTTGTCTAATTTTACATTGTCAATGCAGTTGGATTCAAGGTTCTCGATCCCTTGCTTGGAGGAGGTTCTGATCACTGTGCGTTCACCTCTGAACGCTGAGCTGAAGCTGAACACTCTTGAGTCCCTAGTCAAGTACAGTCCCAGGATGCGGAGGATGGTCGTCAGGATTTCTCAGATGAAGAACTGCCATGGGTCCGCAGATGGCTTCTTCGAAGAGATTTGCAAGTTCATGTATATGAATAACGGGAGAGTGCGGATCGAATGAAAGAAGGAACAGCAGCAATCCTGAACTGAAGTCGAATTTGGGGCTTGGTTTGACTACCGTGAGTTGCAGCTGGACCAACAATAATTTTATTGAGTTATGTTCTTCATTTAAATTTTTTCAAGTTGTGCTATGTTGTTTATTGTTGTTCATCTGGTCTGGAGTGGAGTGAGTGAATGTTAGTTCATCATGCTTATATTGTACTTTGAAGTTTGAATCAGTCTAAAATTTTCTGCTTGAAAATTGCACTGTTCTCGGTTTTCTTCATTTGTATTACTGTGATGTTTGTAAACTTGATTTGTGGAGTATAATCTTTGACAGTTATGGCAGTAGTAGAATGGATGTTTTAAGAGTGATGTGACTGAGTACTATGATAATTTGCAATAACTGGAACGGTCATAGACTCAGTTTCAAAAATGGCAGCTTATATCTCGAATAATAATTTCTGTACAATTCATAGGAAGTTTGTAAACCTCAATCTAGCAAACGAATGGAATCTTAACCAGCAAAGTAGATCCTCATTGGAGAGTACATTGTACACATAAAAAGAGTATAAAGCAGAGCCTAATCTATTTGGTAAAAAAATCATACAAATGGTAGGAACCTGAGAGCAAAATTAACACATGGCTCATCCTTTGGTGCTCTTTTTCAGAACGTATAGTTAAGGATTGGGCCAAAATGCTGTCTATTCTGAACATATACAGTTCTTGGTACAGACTAGCAGAATTTTCATCTCATCTAGATGAGTTTCTTCTTCCGAAAGAACCGTTTGAGGTGCCACAATTGCGCAATTGAGGCGATAACGCAGACCGAAAGGGACATTAAGCTCAACCATGTGATCTTAAAATTTGTCCAATCACTTACATCTCTCATGTCTGATTCTCTGCATTCATAACCAAGTGATTAGATAGATCATCAGTTCATCACCAATAATTTATAGAATGAAACAAGTGTACTTACTTGGATCTGAGGTACATCAAGTTTCCATGGACTGCTTGAACAGCTGTTTCTAGCTTGGTTAATTCCAGTGCAACTCCCTGTTCATGAAAAAAAAATTAGCAAGATATATCAAACCAAAGAATTCGAAATTGGGCAAGAAAGATGTTTAAATTTCCAAGTTTAGGTGCTTGCCTCGAGTTTATCTATCTTGGCAAGAGCATCCCAATCTTTTGTTGCAATCCCAGTTTTCCAATCAAGATTGAGGTTTACTACCAGCTCCTTATCCAAGGTATCCACCGAGAAGCATGCCAGATAAACTCCAGGTTCTGCTGTGTTAAATGAAAACTGGCCCTGCATAACCTTCTCCCTGTGGTGTAAGACTTTTCCATAAGGCGATGTCACCTGCAGGAGCAATCCAAGAATAACCTTAAAAAAAAAAGAAGAGCAATAATCCAAGAAGATTCAGTATTCAGATTACCAAAATGAAGGAGCATTGAATTGAACAATACACAATAGCAAACATGATCATTTTTTCGCGAATGCGCAAAAGGATTGCGCGTCAATATATTAGAATAGCAAACATGATCATGATAATGAGATGTTCAAACATGATCATGAGATCATCCATCTCAATACGAGCATAACCTGGATGGAGAGTATGGGGCGCGTTGGGTACCCATCGAAGAGGATGTCGTAGTCACCGATAACGACGACGTTTGATTGGATTCTCTCCGAGAAGCACTTGGTCGCTGTTGTAGATAGCTCCATCCACACCGCCTCGCCGTCGGCCACCAGGCACCATAGCGCCAACGCTAACACCACGCTCCGTTGTGCCATAATCGCCACCGCCTACACGAGCTGAGGTTGCTGGGAAAGGCACCAAATGATCACTCTATCTTTAGAAGGGCCATTTTTCTGCTTGATATGAAGTTGCCAAGAAAGGCTGGAGGCCGGAATTAGGAAAATGGAAAATGGTAAATGTTCTATGCATGCAACCTTCCAGTTTTATCGCCATAAGAAAAACATGGCACTATAACAGAGCCATAGGCTTATGGTGCTCCTAGTTTAAGCCCAATTTCACATGCATTTTATTAATCACTAAATCCAATTTGCATAAACACCATAGACGATTATCTAATATGCATAAACACCATAGAAGATTATCTAATATCCTTAGGAATATATAAAAAGTTTACATGTTCCAAATGGGTTATCAATTAGAGCAGTCAGAAGAATATTTTTTTCTTGATGAAGACTTTGCAACCGTGTAATTAAAGGCATCATCAATACATTATTTTAACATTTTTTTCTTTTGTCCTCAGCTATTGTCCCGAGCGGCGCAGCCCAAGCAGCGCCTCCCCCCCTCCTCCTCCTCGGGTCGCCATGCCTCTCCTCCCTCCTCGTTGCCAAACGAGCTCGGACGGCGTGAATCAATCTCCGGCGTCGCGAATCGTTCTCCGGCGGCGCGAACTGATCTCTGACGACGCAGATCGAACGCCGGTGGCGGATTGAGCTCGGGTGGCGCGAATCGGTCTCCGGCGGTGAGAATCGAGCGCTGGCGGTGGATTGAGACCGAGCGGCACTGAGAGGTGGACGGCGGCGAGCTCCTCGACGCGGTGGTGCAGTTAGGTGATGCGGGCTTCCTCACCGGCCACCGAGACGAGCTGCTCGTCCTCCCTCTATTTTCCCATGCGGCGCGGGGCACGAACTGTGGGCCCGACTGACGAACTGACATGAGGAACGGGTGACCAAACTTGGCTCCACGTTCTTGGCAAGGTAAGGCCTTTCACAGTGCTCCAGCCTGGAGCGTTGCTTCATGCGTCCACATAAGCTGCGTGATAGCATGGAGGAAAAAAGGTGTGGGCCCTCGTCCCTTCACTAAGGTCTTCTTTTCTCAGCAAGGATCCGAGGAATTCACTCCAAAAAGCTGAAACAAACGCATGCAGGTGCAGAGCAGTTCAAAAAAAGGAAGCAACAACACAGGTCTCGGTGAAAGTAATGTTGGGTTGGGGTTCCTGTCAAAGCATTTTGCACTGTGAGAGAAATGGATTCGATGTGCATTTGTCCTATGTGGCATATGAGGTAACTCAAATGAGTTGCTTGCACTGCTACAGCCCTAACGAAGGACGCAAACGTGGCATGGAATCTTTGACATGGCTCCCTGAGGCAGAATGACACGTGCCCGCACTGTGAAAGCCCTAACACTGTTCTCTCTATGCCACTGTTCTCTCCAACCGCTCTCACCAGGATACCACCCGACACGAAACGAGAAAATAAAAACAGAAATGATAGAAGTGAAGCGAGCTCAAACCCGCATTGTTTTAGTTCAATCATTTGGCTGAGCAGTTGGGGTGCGCGCGGGCGCGCCCGCCGGCCATGGATAACCTGGCGCTGCTGCGGGGAATCCTCGGCCCGGGGGTCGCCGGCGCCGTCTTTGGCGTGGGTTGGTGGTTCTGGGTCGACGCCGTCGTCTGCAGCGCCGTCCAGGTCTCCTTCCTCCACTACCTCCCCGGTGAGAATCCCCTCTCAGTTTTTTTTTGGTGCTGAACCCGTTCGAACTAATGTTGGAGGCTGTGTCGCGGAATCCAAGGATCTTCGCCTCGCTGGCGGCACTCATGTTCAACTGCGTGAACTAGAATGAGATTGGATACAATTACTACTTGTCTTACGGCGACGACTCCGAGTGGAGGTTAGGTTCTTTCTTGGATCGGAGTGCTTAACTAGGGCTTACGAATTTAGTTGCTACCCCCAACCTGTGGATATCTGTCCAAACGATAAAGGTTGCAGACTCTGTAATGCCATCGATCTGTTCTTTGTTGCTAGCTGACATAATTATCTTTATCAAGAGTGTAAGGTGCTAGAAAGTAACTTTTCCACATTTTTATTTGACTCTGGTACATGGTAAAGCCAATACTCCCTCCAGTGATGACTACTTGTTTTGGACATCGATACTGTATCCAAAATACAACTTTCATTGATTTCTATTGTAATGTGTCTGTAGCACCTACTAAAATTACAATATTTTAAAAAATTACTTATCAAGACAATCAACATTTGTACACATGGTTTCCATTAACCCAAGCAAAATCAAAAGATATCAATACTCACCTTTGAAGGTTTGACTAGAGGTATGTTTTTTAATGACCGAGGGGAGTTCGCGTAACTCTTTTTTTGCTGCTGTTTGTCACAAAATCATAGCCCATATGTCAATATTACATACGGGGCTTGTTTGGTGTGCTACCATACCAAAATATTGGCAATGCCAAAACCTAGGCAAGATTTGGTAGTGCCATTTTTTTTGCCACTAATGTGTATTGTTGGCATATTTTAGTAGCAAACCAAATACTAGCAAAGTACTATTCAAAGTGCCAATAATTTGGTAGTGCCAATAATTTGGTAGTGCCAAAATGGCCTACGCTTTTGAATTCAGCCTTTTTTAGGGCTTCTTTGGTAGTACGTTGGCCTTTTTAGTTTCTTGTCTTGTAGCTACGCTTATTATTATGTTTAGGAAGTAAAACTTTGGTTCAAGAAGTAAAATGCAGACCTAAACTAGTAAACTACTAAACTGGTGTCCTGACTCTAGTATAGATTGGTGTAAAATGAGTTTTTCTGGTCGTTTATGCTGCTGTGGAATTTGGACTATCAACTGGATAGCTTTCTAGTGTTACAGTTATGGCCTCACCAAGCCATGTATGCTGATGAAGATAGTAATAGCTTAAATGGGGGAAACTGCTGAAATATTTTAAATGACAGTTATCAGACCTATGCGAACCTGAGAAAGAAAAATTGTGATGCCATTCTAATTGGCATAAAGAAGCATACTGTGATTGACGTTTGATAAGGTTATTACATAGTTATTTTGGTCTAAGCTAATTGTTCTTCATCGGCACATCTTTCAACTTTGCTTCATGGTAAAAAACACTGGAGATTTATTTATTTTTCTGTCGGCAAAATTGGTTATATAGCATCAAAAGTTCACGTTTTTAGTTTTACAGCACCGAAAGTTACCGGTTCACTTTAATAGCACCCAAAGTTCACCATGTTCCCATTTTTAGCACTTCCGTCAATTTTTTCGTCCGTCTTGATCGTTATTGATCCAGCCACACACACGATATGACATTTCTACCCCTTATTGACATGCATTATACTTGTACTTGTGAGGGGTAGAAATGTCATATCGTGTGTGTGGCTGGATCAATAACGATCGAGACGGACGGAAAACGATCGAGAATTGACGGAAGTGTTAAAAATAGAAACATGGTGAACTTTGGGTGCTATTAAAGTGAACCGGTAACTTTCGATGCTATAAAACCAAAAACGTGAACTTTCGATGCTATATAACCAATTTTGCCTTCTCTGTCATCTTTGACTATCTCAAGAGGGTAATAACTAATAAATAGAGGAAAGATTAGTACCGGAACACTCTTTTGCCGAATTAGCTTGTAATGGAATAACTCTTTTGATACTGCATGGATTTTTTTCTTACTTGTACCATATTTCTTTATTTTGCAGAGTGAAGCTTTGGCTCTTTGTGGCATAGCTGGTGCAGTTGGTTTGTTGGTGCAAGATGCTTTGACTGACAAGGGCCCGTCTGTGTGGACTGGTGTAGCTGGTGTTCTGCAATGTGTCCTTGTATTGATAAGGTATTTCTTCAAGCTTACTCAACTTGTTTACATCTATGCATTGTGGATTTCTGTCGACTATTCTGATTTATGAATTTTGGTCATTCTTACAGTGGGGTTAATTTATTGGACTTGCCACAGTAAAGATTGATTACAAAAGCATCATCAAACTTCAAGGTGAACTGGTTGTCTGGTACTATCGAATCAACTGTATTCCTTCCATATTATGGTGGTAGCCAAAACTGTATATTCTAATTCCACTTTCACCTAATGAAAATATGATGAACCTCTAGGTGCCATATATCCAGATAAAAATTATAGTCAACTTTGAGGGCACTGAAGTAGAAACTGAGAAGACAAAAACGCTTTAGCATCATTGAGCTAGTGATGATCCCCTTGTCATTCCAATACCAATTAGATTATTCTCCTATGCTGTGCATACTTTTGGGTAGTGACTAGGGTAGTGGAAGTTGCACACCCCCACCAAAATTCTAGTGTACGGGTGGTTGGGTGTGGCTGTGTGGGGGGATATTTAAAAATCTAGACATGCATCTGTAGCAAGAGAAATCCCTGGTAACAGGAGGCACTTCTGTGTGACGAAGTTGTCTGTAATTCTGTATTCACAACTTCAACATCATACAAAAAATTCTTCGTTTTCTAAAACAACAATACTCTGCAAAAGTCAAAATATTAAAATTAATGATATTGACACTCTTTATCATAAAGAACAATTCTTGGAAGTGGTAGAGTAAGGTTAACATTACAACTAGTTTTTAGCTCTAATTTTACAACACATTACCTACACTATACATGTCCCAATACACTGCAACAATTACTCGTTTTGTTTGTTTGAGTACATTTTGTTCGTTTGTTCTTAATCTACTTATTTTGTTTCTTTCCATACTTGAGCTCACGTACAGATTGTCTCTTGCATAAGGGACAACCTCTCTCCATATTTTTTTTAAAAAAAGACAAATGACAATCGCCATTTTTCTCTTTCAGGTAGCATATTATTTTTGAGTTACCAAAATTATTCTCTATGAAAAGGTTACATAATTTATTGCCATAATATTTTGTTAAATAACCCGCAAATAACAAAAACATTCACAATGTGCAGTCAATTTCTATAAATTTTTGTTGTCGATTGATGTCTTTCAGAATATTTGGAATATATGAAAATGATACTACCTCTTTTTTTTTAATATATGACACTATTGACTTTTGAAATAACGTTAGCCATTTGTTTTATTCAAAAGATTAGTGTAAATATGCTAAAGTATAAATCATACTTAATTTTTTTAATGATAAAACATGTCACAACAAAATAAATGATGTTTATATGAATTTTCTGAATAGGACGAATTATCAAATGGCATATCAAAAGTCAAAGGCATCATCTATAAAAAAAATAGAGGGAGTATATGTATAATTGTCTTAGAAATGTCATATTATTATAGCTTTATCACATTTCAAAATATATTTGAAAAGTAATTACCAACCAGTATTCTGTTTTGGATAGCACATTGCCTAAGTGCCCAATCGAGTATGTAAGTGTCAATTTAAAATTTATTTCTGGTGCATTTTCTCTGACCACATTGCTTGACTGCCTGATAGAGCATGCAAGTGTCGACTTCAAATTCATTTGTAGTGTATTTTTCTCTGAGCATATGCTTTGAGTGCCTGATTGAGCATGCAAGCGTCGATTTCAAATACATCTGTGGTGCATTTCCTCTTATTCTCTTTTGTCGTTTCGAAACGTCAATACTTGATCGATGAATCCTTTTTATTATTGGATATCTTAATCCGGAAGGCTAATAACATTTTCAGGGAAAAATAAAAGGGAAAATTGTAAGAACAACTGTGTTAGTAGTAAGAGTGTTTCAGATTTGATCACACTGCGTGGGCGCAAAGGAGAACTTGTGGTGTTGCACATCGAAGAGTACGTGCATGTTCTGCTGCTGGACGTTGCCGATGATGGACACGCCGGAGCCGTCCGTCGTCTTGCCCACGGCCAGGCACATCAGCCCGGCTCTCGGCTCCTGGAAGTAGTTGTCCCGCGGCAGCACCATCGCCGCGCCGCCGTCGAAGTGCAGCACCAGCGGCGGAACCTGCACCGCCTCCATCGCCGCCGCAGCCGTGCGGCGCGGCAGCACGAAGCAGAGCTCGTAGTCCTCGACGGTCCGGTTCGCCACCGGCAGCCTCACCACGTCCATCACGGCCTCCTTGACGGCCTCGAACGCCGCCTCCACGAGGTACGCCACCGTGCTGCCAGAGTCGACGATCGTGCCGCCGCCGCCGTCGGGCCTCATTGCGAGGCTCGCCGCCGGCACGGCGAGCCGCTTGTGCCCGAGCGAGATGCCAACCAGCGGCACGTAGTAGTAGACGGTCTCCACCGGATTGCTCACTATCGCGGTGGTTTGGATCGGCCTCGTCGTCTTGTGCCTGGACAGGTCGGCCATTGCGCCGAACAGCAACGGGCTCGTCTTCTTGTCGGCGAAAGGGGTGAGGCAGTAGGAGAATCTCTGTATTTTCAGCTGCGTGATGAGGGACAAGCTCTCCGGGCTAAGCCCCAGGATGCCGGTGGCGCCGATGAGGCTTCCGGCGGAGAGCGCGCCGCAGCCGAAGCCGAGGCGGAGGGAGACGGCGCGGCGCGCGCCGAAGGTGAAGGTCTCCGACGCGAGGACGCCGACGGCCGCCGCGCTGCCGTACACGTCCTCGTAGACGCACCTGTTCTTGCTGGTGCAGTTCTTGAAGCTGAACTGCCCCTCCTGGCACAGCCTGTCGCTGCAGGGGAGGAAGGCGAAAGTGGAGGACTCGCCGGGGTCGTAGACCGGCGGCGAGCCGTGCCTCGCCGCCGCGGCGGTGGAGGAGGACAGCTTGCACTGCGTCCAGATGAGGTCGCTGCCGGTGTCCACGATGAGCTTGCGCGGCTGCACGATGCCGACGGTCAGCGAGTGTCCCTGGTCGCTGAGCAAAATATTATTGAAGCAACTTTTTATCATTCAAAACTATTATCCCATCGGTGGGAACCGTTTCTTATCTACAGCGAGCACCAGTGGCTCCGGACCTGCCGTCCGTCCGGCGAGACGGCGTGCGCACGACGAGTGCGGCTGATACGTTGCGTGAGTGGCTAATGATATGCTCAAAGACTAGATTCGATTTTAGTTCAGTGCAAAGCATCATGTTGCCCCCACGAGTGAGTTGCTTAATGGTCCTTGTCACCCCCTTGTGATCTAGTATGATTATAAGATGGTGTTGATTTCAGTGTAAAGAGACATTGCAACCTCTGATTAACAAACTCACAAATATAATAAGTACTTATAACACGCATGTTTGGAATATCGTTTGGTTGACGTTACCGGCTTTAATCCAGCGACGGGTTAAAGCCAGCCTAATACCCAGCCCATACCATGATGAGATGCGTGCCAATTTCTCGCGAAGTTTCATGTGGACCTGAGTATTTTGAGCCATACATGTGAATATCGCCCAGTAGCACCTGGGCGAAATTTTGTGGGGGTAAACTGAATGGTAATCAACTTATCAGGTAAATGTAATGTAATTAAATGTAAAAATTTTGAGAAGAAAATGTTCTAGTGTAACAATTTGACAAACATGTACAAGAAAACTTGATAGTAAGCGTATGGGTGCAACATACAAGATGGGTTATAGATGGCCAAATGGTTCGGCTCTGGCCCGGGGCTTTGGCCTGACCCAGGCACGGCACGGCCTGACCGATGTCGGGCTCATGCTGGCCTAGCCCGACCGTTGGGCCATGACTGGGTCTTTGCCTGGGCACAATGGGCCAGCCCGGCACAACTTAGTCCAACGATCAGGAGGCAAAATGCATGAGGGGGTAAAATAGACTTATTTCAGCCATATCAAGCACAACCCAATGACATGAGGGAGGCAAAACAGACTTATTTCAAGGAGAAGCATAGTAGGCTTTCATACCTTCGGGTCGACCTGACATGGCTCGAGCCTTATTGGGTCGTGCCTGGGCTGTTGGTGTAGCCCAGGCGAGCATTGCCCGGTCTGGTGTATAGGTCGGGTCATGCCGACCCAACTGATCTTGGTCCTAGGTCTGGTCGTGCCCGGGCCAGGCCGGGTGGCCCATTTGGCCATCTATAATGTGGGTTGGATTGTTTTAAAACACAATACAAATATAGACGCTTAGAACACGTGTAGACTCACTCATATAAACATGCACACGCATATCCTACCATACGAGCACCTCGAAAAGGTTGGGCTGCATATCCTTGGATTGACAAAGTCACCGCGTACACCTCACCATCAAGGGGTACGTCATCAACCACTAAAAGAATAATTAGTCGTAAATACGAACAAATTTAGGACTTGAAATCAGGTGAGAAGATTCCCATTAACCAGTTGAGCTACGATTTTAGTACAAATACTTAAAGAAGTGATGCAATGACTTACTTATTTCAAGTACTTTTTTCTATACGCATTTAGACTGTATTCGGCAACCCTTGTTTTCAACTTCACTCCCTTGTTTTTGCACGTATGTTTTTCGAACTGCTAAACGGTGTGTTTTTTTTTAAAAAAGAGAACTTTCTATAGGAAAGTTGCTAGAAACACATTAATCAATTTTTTAAGTTTTTGAAACTGATACTTAGTTAATCAATTAATATGTTACCTCATTTTCTGGGCATGAGAACTGAGTGCAGAACCTACTGGTTCGAACGCATTTAAGTACTTATTTAATCTATACATTCGTGCAGATTTGTATATATATACTTAATTTTTTTTCATTTTAGTAACTAGAAGTTAATTAAATTTTACTATATAGGAAGTTTTGTATTTCGGTTGAATTTTTAGAAGGTGAAGAAAAAAACATCCAAATCGATGATGCAAATTAGATGATAACCTTAATTCTTATAAATTAAATCTAAAATTATAAGGTAGTATATGCATGATTGCTACCGACATTATGCATATACCAATGGTATATGATGTCATACCGACATCATGAAAGTACTCATCTACCATTGTTTAATCAAAACAACACATATATAATCAAATTGTTACACCAGAATACAAAATTATCAAATTATACTAGAACACATTCACGTAGTATTAAGTCGATCGGTGGACTTAGACGTTCAATTCTCCGTGTATACGCGTACACGACGTACGTGGATTTGGGGTAATAAAATACTGCACAAATCATACATGGAGACATGGTACTGCGATAGTGCAGTAGGCCAGTCGCGTGACTACTCTATCTATCGACCTGCGGCTGCAACACCGACCAGCTCTGAACTTATTGAGTCCCAAAATGAAACGGAAAAAAAAAATTCAATCGATCCTACACGATGTTGCACGGCGCCGGCACGAACGACAAGAGGCTATTCGCGATGTCGTACAAAATGTGCATGTTCTGCTGCTGGTAGTTGCCGATGATGGTGGCGTCGCCGGAGCGGATCATCGCCAGGCACAGGAACCCGGTGGCGCCGTCGATCAGCATGTAGTTCTCCGGCGGCACGGTCATGTTGGCGCCGCCGTCGAAGTGGAGCTCCATGTCCGGGACCGTCACGGCCACGCTCGGCGGCGGCGGCCACGGGAAGCACGTCTCCAGGCCGATCTCGGTGTCGTTCGTCGGCGGCAGCGGCCGGAGGACGGACACCAGCTCGCGGCGCACGGCGTCGTACGCGTCCTGCTGGAGCCAGGTGAGCGACGTGCCGGAGTCGATGAAGACGCCGCCCGTGCCGTCGTCGTTGATGGCGAACACCAGCGGGTCGATGGGCAGCCGCTTCTGGCCGAGGCTGATGCCCTTGAGGGACATGAAGTAGAGGGACGGCAGCGCCGCGTTGACGACCAGCGGCGTGGACTGCACCGGCGAGCCGGAGGAGCTTGCGTTGGTGCCGTTGAGCGTCGCGAACACGCCGAAGTTGAGCCGGCTCGGCTCCGGCGAGAGGAACGACGTGAGGCAGTAGGAGAACCTCGACGGGCCGAGCTGGCTCACCAGCGACAGCGGCCCGCGGCCGAGGCCGACCATGCCGGAGCTGTTGGCGAGCTGGCCCGAGTTGATGTTGCCGCAGCCGAACGCGACGTCGGACACCATGACCTTGCTCGAGTTGGCCGCGCCGAACGTGAAGGTCTCGCTGGCGAGGACGCCGGCGGTGGACGCCTCGTCGCCGTAGTAGTACTGGTACACGCACACTGATCTCTGGAAGCATGCAGGGTACGGCAGCGCGGCGCACAGCGGCGACCGGCACGGCACGAGCCGGTACGTGGCGGACCTCGCCGGCCGGAAGTAGGGCGTGGGCTGGTCGGCGCAGAGCACGCACGGCGCGCACTGCGTCCAGATGAGGTCGCTGCCGGTGTCCACCATGGCCGTGTAGCGCAGCGGCGGCGTGCCGATGGCGAGGTCCATCAGGTACTCCCCCTGGCTCGCCGCCACCAGTATCCTCGCCGCGGTGATCGGGTCCACCACGGGCGCCACCGTCGCCGCCGCGGCGGCGACGGCCTGCAGCGCCGCCACGCGGGCTCTGCTCCGGCGGATGGCGCGGGTGACAAGCTCCAGCTTGGTGTAGCTGCCGTGTGCGTCGACGTGTCGGAGTTTGAGCTGGAAACCGACGCCGCTGACGCTGCAATGTGAGGCCGGCAATAGCGTCGCCGCAACGAGAGCCAGCACCAACACTGGACTTGCCATTTTGGAGTAGTTCGTTGCAAGCGCGCTGGTCAACTAGCTGAGCCAAGGGGGAGGTTGTATGTTGGCAATTTGCAAGATTCTGTGAGCATCTTATATACAAATTTAAGCAGGCTACTGCTTGACATCAAAGATTTTTTTTATTTTGAGAATTACACATTACAACATAGACAATCACAACGCACGCACGTAAACCCTACCCCTATGAGTATCTTCGAAGACTGGACCGGTAAATCCATCCTAAAAATTGACGAAGTCATCATAGGTGCCTCGCTGTTAATGGGTACATCGCCTACCACTGAAAGCACAAAGCCGTCAAATCCTAAAAATGTCGCCTACCACTGAAAGCACAAAGCCGTCAAATCTTAAAAAATTTACTTCCATAAAGAGTCGAACCTAGGACGTAAAGTGCTACTGAGACTCCTGTAACCATCTTTCGCTTGACATCAAAGATTTGACCACTGTCTATTCCCACGTGCAACGGCCATATATGCATAGCACTTTACTTGCTTTCATTCCTATAGTAACAAATGGCGACCTCTAGAGAAGGTGGATTTTTATCCTCAAGAGATCATCCCCTCATTTGTACGTGTTAAGGAAATAGTAGTAGTTAGTAGTAAGAAATTTAACATGATATATCAATATATAATATATCACTTTATTAACATGTAAAATTAAATTCAGCCTATATTTGTTTCTATTCATATATTTAAATTTTAGTCTATAGGTTTATGAAGTGATATACCATATATTGATCTATCAATGTTATTTTTTTTTAGAAAAATGTTAATTATTTTTAGGTGATATATAAGAATGAACGGACATCCCCTGGGACAAGTGGTAGACTTTTCTCTCGAGCGATATAGATTAAGATAACAGATAATCAGATTTTTTTTATGTGTGATTAACGAAGGACATCGTGAATTTAAATAAATACTCAGTTCAACAAGATACATATTCTTTTTTTTTGAGGCAAAAACAAGATACATATTCTTGGAATCATAAAAGAAAATTTTTCATTCGAAAGATCTGCCGAGGACTTTTCAGAAAAGTGTTGGTCTTAACTTTTCCTGGCTCATTTGGCAGTTATTTTTTGCACCAAATGCTGTGCCTCTAGACTGTAGTGCTATGAGGATTGTCGAAAGAGTATCACATCCAGTTTAACCATTTTGGACAAATAAATATTGAAAAACCAAATGACACATGTCCTATAGAGTTTGACTGCGGCAGAGCAGAATTTTGGGAGTCCAGCGGCACAGAATTTGGGCACGTAAAATCGAGGTGGAAACTTGTAAACGATGCACAGCTTTTAAATTGAAACTAGAATAGTTTTCAGTTCCGGGTGATCAACGCAAACTCACGAGGTTTAGAGATCTGTGATCATACCTCGGGGCCCCAACTAAAATGTGATTCTTATATGCACTCCTGCAATCCTGCATCAGGCTGTCACACAGATCAATTTGATCAAATCACAACATAAGTGTCCCACTGTTTTCATGACAAGATTGTTAAGTTTATGAAGACTGATAAGGGCTCTTTTAAATCGCAGGATTAAAAAAACCGAGAAATAGAAAAAAAACACAAGGATCTGATAGGATTTTTTTTTAACTAGGGCTGGGAAGCCCCCATTTCCATTATCAGAAATGAAACAATATTACAAGATTTCGATAGAAATGCAAGTGCAAAATAGGGAATTTCAAAATACATGAATGACCGTTTAATTGGACCGCAGGAAAAACGCAGGAATTAGATGAGAGATATAGATTGAAAGGAAATTTTTCAAGAGGTTAGAGTGGATGTTAAATTTTCTATGTTTTTCCTTTAGAATCATAAGAATAGGAATGTTTTCTACGTTTTTTTCTTTTCTCATTTCTACAAATCAAATGCATGAATAGTGTAGGATTTTAATTCCTTTATTTTTTTTCTCCATTTTTTTTGTCCAATTCAAGGGGCCTAAAATTGCCGTTGTTACTGTACCACCATATATACATATACAGTTCCAAAAAAGTCATGTATATAGTAGTCCTTCGAAGATACACATATTCAAGAATTGGAATTTTGGAATATAATCACCTCAACAAACTCAGCTGTTGAGCTGTTGCAGAGACATTCAGTAGTCGCCTGGCAACAAGTAGTAAGCATGTTTAGGAGTTCCCAAGAATGTTGCTTAAAACGAGCTAGATAATATGAAGCGATGAGTAAAATACAAGGTAGCTCCACTTGCGTACCGAGGCACAGAACGGAAAAAAAAAATCTGTCCAGGGTGCAGGCCAGTTTGTATGGATCCGAAGCGTAAGAACAAAGCTTAACGCTCCTTGGTAGTAGGAGTATTGTGTAATATCGGGCGGGAATAATGGTTTCTTATGTTGTAACATCAACTCGGGCGAGCTCGCCAACAGCTCCGGCATGCATGGTCGGCCTCGGCCGCGGGCTGCTGTCGCTGGTGAGCCAGCTCGGCCCGTCGAGGTTCTCCTACTGCCTCACGTCGTTCCTCTCGCCGGAGCCGAGCCGGCTCAACTTCGGCGTGTTCGCGACGCTCAATGGCACCAACGCCAGCTCCTCCGGCTTGCCGGTGCAGTCCACGCCGCTGGTCGTCAACGCGGCGCTGCCGTCCCTCTACTTCATGTCCCTCAAGGGCATCAGCCTCGGCCAGAAGCGGCTGCCCATCGACCCGCTGGTGTTCGCCATCAACGACGACGGCACGGGCGGCGTCTTCATCGACTCCGGCACGTCGCTCACCTGGCTCCAGCAGGACGTGTACGACGCCGTGCGCCGCGAGCTGGTGTCCGTCCTCCGGCCGCTGCCGCCGGCGAACGACACTGAGATCGGCCTGGAGACGTGCTTCCCGTGGCCGCCGCCGCCGACCGTGACCATGACGGTCCCGGACATGGAGCTCCACTTCGACGGCGGCGCCAACATGTTACATCCAATTCTAAGTTTATTATTTTGTAGAGGAAGTACTACAGTATCGCAGTACCATGTCTCCACGTATGATTTGTGCAGTATTTTGTTACCCCAAATCCTATAGGATGTGTTTGTATAATGGGAAATGAGAGGTGAGATTGGGATTGAGAAATAAATGAAGGGTTAGAATTAAATGGAGGAAGGAGAATGAATGGTTAGGATTGAAAGATGTCTGTTGGTGGGTTGGAAATTATTTTCCTATCCCATTAGAATTGAGAATGAATGCTCAAGCAAGCACTCAAACATGTGCTCAGAGAAAAATACACTACAAATGGAATTGAAATCGACACTTACTTGCTCTATCAGGCACTCAAGCAATGTGGTCAGAGAAAATGCACCACAAATGAATTTTAAATTGACACTTACATGCTCGATTGGACACTCAGCCAATTTGCTCTCCAAAACAGAACACTGGTTGGTAGTTACTATTCCAATATATTTTGAAATGTGATAAAGCTATATAATATGACATTTGGAAATACAAAAGACGTCTTATAACAAATCTCTTTTAAAATAAACTCGCATGTTAACTTGGGACGCTTTTAAAAATTTTAAAAAGACTCGCATGCTAACTTGAGATAAAAGTCGGATTCCTAATTACAACTCATGATTTTCTTAAAAAATATATATATCCAAGCGAATTCCCACAATTATTTTCACCCTAGCTAAACTATATAACAATAATAATAAGACTAAAATAGCCTTCACCGTGAACACGTAAAGATGTAGTCTGGAGGGGGGGTGAATAGGCTTTCCTGAAATTCACAAACAAATCATAGCGGTAAATTCAGCAGACCCGAAACCTCCTGGTGTGGAACACCGGAACTTCCGGTCTGCTCAGACTGTCCGGAACTTCCGGTGTTCTAACCACCGAAACTTCCGGGCAACAGAAAAACCTGAAGATTTAGCAATGACTTGAACTAAATTGCACGAATTAAACTACAGGAAGACAGAGCAAATGCACAATCACAACAACATGCACAGAATCATCACAGGGAGGACAAGGGCGATTTTTTCCTGAAGTTCGGCTCTTGCAATCCTATTCTCCGTTGAGGTGCTCCAAAGAGCCGGGTCTCGATTAACCGCTTGTCTCACTTGTGCAAAGAACCCAGAAGAAGTCCAAGGTCTTCAACTCAACACTCCTAGGTCATTTTCTAGAATTTGAGTGACCACCAAGATCCAACTCGCAAATCCTTCTAGAAAAGACCACAAGTGCAAGTTGCTCTATCTAGGAGAACCTCTAAAAACTCAGCACAAGAATCTTTACTCACTTACCTCGTTTCCTTGCGGAGGTAAGGAAAACCTTCACAAATTTTCCCGGGACATTCACAAGATCTTTGGAAGCTCGCGGGAGACACCTAACCATCTAGGAGAAGATCTCCAAGAGTAATAAGCCCAAGTGACAGCCCACAAGATATCCAAAGTGCTCAAACAAACCTAATCTTTAAACCTTCTCCAAATCACTCCTACACTCTCATCTATTCTCTCAATCTCACAAGAATGGCTCAAGATTTGAGTGGAGGAAGCAAAGGGATATTGGGAGAGGCTAGAAGAACCTAAGGCATGAAAGAACTGAAGTGAAATGGCCAAAAGGTGAGCTGGGTACGATCTGGATATATATAACGGCTAGGTGACGTCATCTAGCCGTTACTCACATTTTTGAATTGGAAGAGGTCTGGAACTTCCGGACAACACTTAGGAAAAATTCTCATCTCGCAAGGTCCGGAAGTTCCGGGTCCAGGGACCATTCCGGCCAGCCTTCTATGTCCGGTCTGGAGCTATTTGCAAAAATGGCTCCCAAAAATATTCTAACATAAGGAACCCACTGAGAGCACTTTTTATATCCCAGAACCACACTTGGAATCCCTCTTAATAGTACGGTTTTTCCTAAAACTCGATTTCAAATATTAAACTATCCTATTGACTTTCGAGCTTCAAGTCCGCTTCGAATGAATGTTGTAGGGGGTCTCTAAGCATCTCTTGTTCACCTAAGTTCACCTTGGGACTAATCACCTGAATATCTCAATAAACACATTAGTCCCTTAACCTTATTCATCATTAATCACCAAAACCCACTAGGGGGATAAATACAACTTCAATCTCCCCCTTTTTGGTGATTGATGACAATAAGGTTAAAGCTCACAAAAGATTTGAAATAATATTAATGTTTTGAATGGATAGAAGTGAATAAAACTCCCCCTAAATATATGCATATGGAAAATATGAGTGAAGCTCATATGCATACTGAGAAGGGACCAAACATGGAGAGTTTCCTTCAACCCTATTCATTCGTGGGATGCAATAAGAGCGAGAAATAAATATGACACTAAAAATAAATTACATGAAAGGCACTCAAGGATAAAATTAACATTACATCACAAAACAAGAAATAAGGCAATCATAGCATGAAGTGATGCAGGGATTAAATTTAGCACCTAACAGTCATTACATCCACACATAGATAGAATTTTTACATGTCCAAATATATAGAGGAGTGAAAGGGGGACAAGGAAATTGGACCCCCTTTGATTGCAATTTTCTCCCCCTTTGGCATCAAGGCACCAAAAAGGGACAAAACCACAAGGAAAGAAGCGGATCAATCCTCGTCTTCGTCGGAAGGCACAATCTCAATGGCAGCATCAGAAGGGACTTGCTTAGACTCATCACCAGAAGCAGCCTTCTCAGTAGCAGCATCACTGTCCTCAGCATCACTCTCCTCTGCAGCAGAATCCACAGCATCCTCTGGATCAGTACGTGGTGACTCTATATCCGGCAGCTCATCACCATCATCATCATCATCATCATCATCATCACTGGATGTGGAGGAGTCCTCACGGAAGGAGTGAGAGGGACCCTCACCGGCAGCCACATCCCTAGCAGCCTCATAAGCAGCAAATGGATCCTCATAGGCTTCATCCTCTAAAACATCTGACGCATCCTTGCCTGCAGCCCTCCAATCTGCCTTCTGACGCCTCTCAATCTTCTTGACTTTCTTGGATGTCTCGGCACACATACAAAAAATTGCTTGAAGCGCCTCCTTGATGGGAGAAGAAGAGCTCGTGCGCTGAGGGCAACTGAAGAGGCGGCTGAAGCTGAACCTATAGTAGACCGAGATGGAGGAGGCGGAGCTGCTAAAGAAGTGGAAGGAGCCATGAGGATGGAATACCTTGTGATCACACTCCTTGAAGAAGGAAAGTCATGTCCTTTCCTCAATCATCATCATAACGTATGGGGCATAAATGCAACCTCTCTTAGGATCACATATGGTCTCAAGAATCTCAAACCAAATGAGCTTCATAACACTGAAAGCGGGGCACTGATAGCGCATAGAGAAAAGGAGATGAGCATGCTTGGTAGGAATAGCTGTGGCATCCCCAACCTTTGGAAGAAAGGACCACCTGAAAATGGAGTAGAGAACCTTATAGTTGGGATGCAAGCCTTTAGTGGTACCCATGCAGTTAGAAGGAGTTCCTTTCTCATACATGAAGCTTGTCCTGTGCATCGGTAAGGCTTCCAAGTCAAAGAGATGAGGCCTTGTCAAATCCTCTGGATCAAGCTCTAAGGCAGCAGCAAACTGACCCATGGTAACTCTGTAAGATTTCCCCAACGTCATCCACTTGATGAAATGGTTGCCCTTCTTGGTGGTGCCAAAGTAAGCTGTAGCATAGAACTGCCCAATTATCTACTCATTCCAATCATACTCAAGAGCAAGGATCTCTCCAAGATTCTTTGCCTTACACACCTTGATTACTTCATTGAATACTGCATTGTTCTTGTGCCTCATGAAAATCCAGTCCACATACTTCATCTCTACCACTGAATGGGGTCTTTCCATGAAAACAGAGTTGTACCAATCAACTTGCACAAGAGTGCGAAAGCGAGGATCCTGAGAGTCGGCATACACTACAAATGAATTTGAAATGGACACTTACATGCTCTATGCTCTATCAGGCACTCAAGCAATGTGGTAAGAGAAAATGCACCACAAATGAATTTGAAATTGACACTTACATGCTCTATTGGGCACATAGGCAATTTGCTCTCCAAAACAGAACACTTGTTGGTAATTACTATTCAAATATATTTTGAAATGTGATAAAGCTATAATAATATGACATTTTTAAGAAACCTATACATATACTCCTCTGTTTTTTCCCAATACTTTGGTAAGCCATTCGTGTTTGAGTCGATTTTTAAGTTCGTTTGATTTTGGATATCCAGATCTGTGTTTGAGTACGTTTTTAAGTTCGCTCGCCTTTGGAAATACAAAAGACATCTTATAACAAATCTCTTTTCAAAAAAACTCGCATGCTAACTTAAGATAAAAGTTGGACTCCTGATTACAACTCATGATTTTCTTAAAAAAAAATATATATCCAAGCGAATTCCCACAATTATTTTCACCCTAGCTAAACTATAGAACAAAAATAATAAGACTAAAATAGCCTTCACCCGTTGCAACGCATCGGCATTTTTCTAGTCCAATAATAAAAAGGATTAATCGATCAAGTATTGACGTTTCAAAATGAGAAAAGAGAATAAGAGTAAATGCACCACAGATGAATTTGAAATCGACGCTTGCATGCTAAATCAGGCACTCAAACATGTGCTTAGAGAAAAATACACTACAAATGAATTTGAAATCGACACTTGCATGCTCTATCAGGCACTCAAGCAATGTGGTCAGAGAAAATGCACCACAAATGAATTTTAAATTGACACTTACATGCTCAATTGAGCACTCAGGCAATTTGCTCTCTAAAACAGAACACTGGTTGGTAATTAGTATTCAAATATATTTTGAAATGTGATAAAGCTATAATAATATGATATTTCTAAGAATTATACATATACTCCTCTATTTTTTTGCCGATACTTTTGTAAGCCATTCATGTTTGAGTCGATTTTTAAATTCGTTTGATTTTGGAAATACAGATATGTGTTTGAGTACGTTTTTAAGTTCGTTCGCTTTTGGAAATACAAAAGACGTCTTATAACAAATCTCTTTTAAAATAAACTCGCATGCTAACTTGGGACGCTTTTGGAAATTTTAAAAAGACTCGCATGCTAACTTGAGATAAAAGTCGGACTCCTAATTACAACTCATGATTTTCTTAAAAAAACATATATCCTAGCGAATTCCCACAATTATTTTCACCCTAGCTAAACTATATAATAATAATAATAAGACTAAAATAGCCTTCACCCGTTGCAACGCATGGGAATTTTTCTAGTCCAATAATAAAATGGATTCATCGATCAAGTATTGACATTTCGAAACGAGAAAAGAGAATAAGAGGAAATGCACTACAGATGAATTTGAAATCGACACTTGCATGCTCAATCAGGCACTCAAATATGTGCTCAGAGAAAAATACACTACAAATGAATTTTAATTCGACACTTACATGCTCTATGCTCTATCAGGCACTCAAGCACTATGGTAAGAGAAAATGCACCATAAATGAATTTTAAATTGACACTTACATGCTCGATTGGGCACTCAGGCAATTTGCTCTCCAAAACAGAACACTTGTTGGTAATTACTATTCAAATATATTTTGAAATGTGCTAAAGCTATAATAATATGTCATTTCTAGGACAACTATACATATACTCCTCTGTTTTTTTTGCCGACACTTTGGTAAGCCATTCGTGTTTGAGTTGATTTTTAAGTTCGTTTGATTTTGGAAATACAAAAGACATCTTATAACAAATCTCTTTTGAAAAAACTCGCATGCTAACTTGGGACACTTTTGGAAAAATTTTTTAAAAAAACTCGCATGCTAACTTGAGATAAAAGTCGGACTCCTAATTACAACTCATGATTTTCTTAAAAAAATATATATCCAAGTGAATTCCCACAATTATTTTCACCCTAGCTAAACTATATAACAATTATAATAAGACTAAAATAGCCTTCACCCGTTGCAATGCATGGGCATTTTTCTAGTCCAATAATAAAAAGGATTCATCAATCAAGTATTGACTTTTCGAAACGAGAAAAGAGAATAATAGGAAATGCACCACAAATGAATTTGAAATCGACGCTTGCATGCTAAATCAGGCATTCAAACATGTGCTCGGAGAAAAATACACTACAAATGAATTTGAAATCGACACTTACATGGTCTATCAGGCACTCAAGCAATGTGGTCAGAGAAAATACACCACAAATGAATTTTAAATTGACACTTACATGCTCGATTGGGCACTCATGCAATTTGCTCTCCTAAACAGAACACCAGTTGGTAGTTACTATTCAAATATATTTTGAAATGTGATAAAGCTACAATAATATGACATTTCTAAGACAACTGTACATATATTCCTCTATTTTTTTTGCCGATAGTTTGGTAAGCCATTCGTGTTTGAATCGATTTTTAAGTTCGTTTGATTTTGGAAATACAAATATTTGTTTGAGTACGTTTTTAAGTTCGTTCGCTTTTGGAAATACAAAAGATGTCTTATAACAAATCTCTTCTAAAAAAAACTCCCATGCTAACTTGGGACGCTTTTGAAAATTTTAAAAACACTCGCATGCTAACTTGGGATAAAAGTCGGACTCGTAATTACAACTCATCTAAACTTCGTGATCTATGATCCTAATGACGACTTAAGGGTCTTGGTCATAATATATATTCACGGTGACAAACAAGCTTAACATGAACGCTGGGTTGATTGCCATGGTTTATAGAAGAACGTTTATTTAATTAAGACGGAGTAGCTACATTGTATCACTCTCGAGTACTTTCTTTGTTTTAAAATATAAGTATTTAAAATATAAGTATTAAGGTTAAATAGAGAACACCCCTTATTAATGAGGTGTGGTTATGGATAGGATAGAGAGAAGACAATGGAACGATGTGTCGATGTTGTGTACGAAAGTTGTGGAGCCATGCTGGCTCTTTTTTTTGCCACGTCACACGCAGTTCATCTGAGCAATGTCTCTATATAAACCCGTCCCCTGCCTGCCTTGCTTGCCACCTATCCCAGCGCCTCTTCCAGGCCACTACTTCTCTGGGCTCTGGCTACTCTTCGACGGCGGCCGGCGTAGCGAGCTGTAGCTGAGCTGAACGCAGAACCGAACACCAAGCATGGCCGCTTCCGTGCAGCCGCGGCAGTTCGGCCACCTCGAGCCGGGCTCCGCGCCGGTGTGCGGCGCCGCATCCTCGAACGGCGCCAAGGCGTACCCTCCCGCGAACGGCATCCCGCGCCGCGCCGACTCACCGGTGCGCGGGTGCGGCTTCCCTCCCCTCGTCTCGCCACCTTCGCGGAAGCCGCCCAGCGATGGGTCGGACGACGAGGAGGAGGAGCAGGAGGACTGGCGGGAGCTGTACGGCTCGCACCTGCAGCTGGAGGTGGAACCGTCGGTGCGCGACGCGCGCGACGAGGGCACCGCCGACGCGTGGATCGAGCGCAACCCGTTGCTGATCCGGCTCACCGGGAAACACCCGCTGAACTGCGAGGCGCCGCTGGCGAGGCTCATGCACCACGGCTTCATCACCCCGGCTGCGCTGCACTTCGTGCGCAACCACGGCGCAGTGCCGCGGGGTGACTGGTCGACGTGGACCGTCGAGGTGACGGGGCTCGTCAAGCGTCCCATGCGGCTCACCGTGGACGAGCTGGTCAACGGCTTCCCCGCCGTGGAGGTCCCCGTCACGCTGGCCTGCTCGGGGAACCGCCGCAAGGAGCAGAACATGGTGCAGCAGACTGTGGGGTTCAACTTTGGCGCCGCCGCCGTGTCCACGTCGGTGTGGCACGGCGCCCGCCTCCGCGACGTGCTCCGGCGGTGCGGCATCATGCCCAGCAAGGGCGGTGCGCTCAACGTGTGCTTCGAGGGCGCCGAGGACCTCCCCGGCGGCGGCGGCTCCAAGTACGGCACCAGCATCACACGCCAGTGGGCGCTGGACCCGTCGCGGGACATCATGCTCGCCTACATGCAGAATGGCGAGCCGCTGCTCCCCGACCACGGCTTCCCCGTCCGCGCCATCATCCCCGGCTGCACCGGCGGCCGCATGGTCAAGTGGGTCAAGCGCATCATCGTCACCACCGCCGAGTCCGACAACTACTACCATTACAAGGACAACCGCGTCTTCCCGTCCCATGTCGACGCCGAGCTCGCCAACGCCGATGGTAACGTATATTTACCATGCGTGCATGCGTAAAACACATTTTACCGTTCTTGCGAATATGTATGTATACTGACTCGATCGAACAAATGCTCATCAGCGTGGTGGTACAAGCCGGAGTACATCATCAACGAGCTGAACGTGAACTCGGTGATCACGGCGCCCGGGCACGACGAGATCCTGCCCATCAACGGCATCACCACGCAGCGCGGCTACACCATGAAGGGATACGCCTACTCCGGTGAGCACGCACTCCTCCATAACTTCTCTCTGAATCGCTCGCCTTAATTTACACTCGGTTGCAGTGGCTTGTCATTTTGCACCATCCTTTTGTTTTTGACCTTGATTAATTTAACTTGTCCTAGTAAACAATGTTACTTAGGTGGCCAGAAAAATCTCTAGTGCCTTTTGGAAACTTACTCTCAACGTAGTAGTATACCACTTTGCAAAGTGAATAGTGGTAATCAAATCCAACAAATATCTTCTGAATTTTCTGACAGAATAATACCCCATCAGCATATGGAGTACATAGCTAAAGTACTGGTAATTAAATAACACCTTGGCCACCAGTTAGTCATTTGTCAAAGTTGAGCATGCCTTGCAAATACGGCTAGTAGTATCGTAAAGGGTCATTTAATTTGCAAAAAAAAAGATTTATTTTAGATAATGGATAGAAGTTTGTCCTCTATATCATCCTTAAAAAGATATCGAGATATAACGTGTTTAATACTTTTTAATACTTTCAAGTACTACATATTTCGAGCTATCAAAATTTTTGTTGTAAGATTTAAGTACCCAAGGTATTTTTTCTAAGTACTGTAAAATTTTCATTGTTTAACAAAAAGAAAATGAAGGGTCTTCAAAAAAGAAATTGAAGGCGCAGGGAATGATGGAGCGATGGGCCTGATGGTGATCTTTGTCTCTGTGGTTTGGTAGGCGGCGGCAAGAGGATCACGCGGGTGGAGGTGACGCTGGACGGCGGCGAGACATGGCTGGTGTGCGTGCTGGACCTCCCGGAGAAGCCCACCAAGTACGGCAAGCACTGGTGCTGGTGCTTCTGGTCCGTCGAGGTCGAGGTGCTCGACCTCCTCGGCGCCAAGGAGATCGCCGTGCGCGCCTGGGACCAGTCGCACAACACCCAGCCCGAGAAGCTCATCTGGAATCTCATGGTAGGTGCTTCATTCCGTCTCCGGCCAAGGCGACGGCGATGTAGACGACGATGGCAAATTCATTCGATCGGTTGGGTTTTTGCAGGGGATGATGAACAACTGCTGGTTCAAGGTGAAGGTGAACGTGTGCCGGCCGCACAAGGGTGAGATCGGGCTGGTGTTCGAGCACCCGACGCAGCCCGGGAACCAGACCGGCGGGTGGATGGCGAGGCAGAAGCACCTGGAGACGGCGGAGGCGGCCGCACCGGGGCTGAAGCGGAGCACGTCGACGCCGTTCATGAACACCACCGACGGCAAGCAGTTTACCATGTCCGAGGTGCGCAAGCACTCGTCGCAGGACTCGGCGTGGATCGTCGTCCACGGTCACGTCTACGACTGCACGGCCTTCCTCAAGGACCACCCCGGCGGCGCCGACAGCATCCTCATCAACGCCGGCACCGACTGCACCGAGGAGTTCGACGCCATCCACTCCGACAAGGCCAAGGCGCTCCTCGACACCTACCGCATCGGCGAGCTCATCACCACCGGCGCCGGGTACAGCTCCGACAACTCCGTCCACGGCGCGTCCAACCTCTCCCAGCTCGCCCCCATCCGCGAGGCCATCAAGGCGCCGGCGCCCGTCGCGCTCTCCAGCCCGCGCGACAAGGTCCCCTGCCAACTCGTCGACAAGAAGGAGCTCTCCCGCGACGTCCGCCTCTTCCGCTTCGCGCTGCCGTCCTCCGACCAGGTGCTCGGCCTCCCCGTCGGCAAGCACATCTTCGTGTGCGCCAGCATCGAAGGGAAGCTGTGCATGCGGGCGTACACGCCGACGAGCATGGTCGACGAGGTCGGCCACTTCGACCTCCTCATCAAGGTGTACTTCAAGAACGAGCACCCCAAGTTCCCCGATGGCGGGCTCATGACGCAGTACCTGGACTCGCTCCCCGTGGGCGCCTACATCGACGTCAAGGGGCCACTCGGCCACGTCGAGTACACCGGCCGCGGCGAGTTCGTCATCAACGGCAAGCCGCGGAACGCGCGGCGGCTGGCGATGATCGCCGGCGGGAGCGGGATCACGCCCATGTACCAGGTCATCCAGTCGGTGCTGCGCGACCAGCCGGAGGACACGACGGAGATGCACCTGGTGTACGCGAACCGGACGGAGGACGACATCCTCCTCCGCGACGAGCTCGACCGGTGGGCGGCGGAGTACCCGGACAGGCTCAAGGTGTGGTACGTCATCGACCAGGTGAAGCGGCCGGAGGAAGGGTGGAAGTACGGCGTCGGGTTCGTCACGGAGGAGGTGCTGCGGGAGCACGTGCCGGAGGGCGGCGACGACACGCTCGCGCTCGCCTGCGGGCCGCCGCCGATGATCAAGTTCGCCGTCTCGCCGAACCTGGAGAAGATGAAGTACGACATGGCCAATTCTTTCATCGTGTTCTAAACTCCTACTACTAAATTATACGCACCGCATTAATTATTTTGGTATACGTACGACGATGTATATACGTGTCGTGCCAATTAGAAACGAAATGCTGCATGCATGCGTATGCAAGATGAGAGAAAAAAAAACAATATCTAAGTTGTAGTAGTGTACTCTTGATAATATCCTAGAGTACATACTGCATACATAGGCCATGATTTCCCTTTCTAAGAGGCTAGCGGTTGATTCCTTCCTGTATACTATGTTACGAACCAAGGGGGGATTGGGAATTTTGGATTGAACGAGCAGAGGAAGAATAGAAACAGAGGAAGAACTCGGAAGAACAGAGTAGTTTGGGAGAGAAGCAGTAGGATTATTCAGAGATAGTGTTTTGATTACAAACTAGTATGGTGGCCCGTGGAGATTGCGCGGCTAGCATCATTATATTTTCTCTCATATAATTACATATATGATTTCTCATTATATTACTCCCTCCATCTACTTTTGATAGTAATATTTTCAAATCTGAAAAAATTATTTTTGATATGCATATTTCAATCCAACAACCTATCATCTTAATTACTTTCTTGGATTTAATGCATGACTCTCTATTCTTCCACACATGATTGGCTACATGGGCATTGAAAAATGTAAATATTAATGAATCGCTTGTTTATGAGGAATGACTAGTACCATGTTTAAATGAATGATAAGTATAATTATTTATACTTGGTCTGTGTGCCAAGATGAAATATGACTATCAAAAATAGATGGAGGAAGTATTCAAATATATTAAAATGACAACATAATTTTAAATTTTGCAATAACTTTACAAAACCACCGATATGTAATATTCATATTGTATTTTTAATTCCAAATTTCTATTATTTCCTAATTATATTTCTATATGGACTCTATACTCTATTTCTAATATTCCTTATTTTTAAATCCGAATTTTCTAATATTCCTTATTTTTAATTCCTAATTTCGGTTATTTTCTAATTGTATTTCTATATGGACTCTATACTCTACTTCTAATATTCCTTATTTTTAATTCCGAATTTCAGTTATTTTCTAATTGTATTTGTATATGGACTCTAGTCTCCTCTTCTAATATTCCTTATTTTTTAATTCCGAATTTCAAGTATTTCTAAAGGGGGCTGCTATATAACGGAATCCCGTTTTCGAACGGGATGATCCTGAGTAGGTATCAGGTGTGATACCTATCAGGTATCAGACGATTCTACACAACAGGATAATCCTGAGTAGGTATCAGGTGTGATACCTATCAGGTATCAGAGGATTCTACACACGTTTCAGGTGATACTTGCAAGTATCATGTGATACTTATCAGGTATCATGCGATTTTTACCACGTATTACGTGATACTCGCGAGGTATCACGTGAAACCTGTCAGCTATCAAACAATTTCAATCACGTATCGCGTGATACTCACGAGGTATCATGCGATACCTGTCATGTATCAAACGATTTCTATCACGTATCGCGTGATACTCGCGAGATATCGGATGATACCTACCAAGTATCAAGTGATTCCTACTAGATATAGCTGGGCATCCCGTTGGGGGAGGAGCACCTCGATACGCGCGGTCGGCCCCCTACAACCGTCCCTTGTAGACGAGGACGGCGACAGCCGCGGCAGGGGACGGGCGCGGCGACGGCGGCGGTAACGGGGAACGGGCGCGGCGGCGGCGGCGAGGGACAGCAACGGTGGCGGTGGGGGATGGGCACGGTGGTGGCAGCGGTGTCGATGGGGGACGGGCGCGGTGGCGGCGGGGGACAGCTACGGCGGTGGTGGGGGACGGGCGCGGCGGCGGCGGTGGACGGGCGCGGTGGCGGCGGGGGACAGCGACGGCGGCAGTGGGGGACGGGCGCGGCGGCGACGGCGACGGCGGAGGCGACAGGGGATGGGCGCGGCAGCGGCGGGGGACGGCGACGGCAGCGAGTGAGCAGAAATCACGTTGTGGAGGAGAAGCTATCCCGTTGGGGAGACGGTATCTAGCATTCCCGATTTCTAAATTGTATTTCTATATGGACTCTAGTCTCCTCTTCTAATATTCCTTATTTTTTTAATTCCGAATTTCAGCTATTTCTAAATTGTATTTCTATATGGACTCTGCCTTTTCTTTTTCTCCGATTAATGTGAGAAATTTTAGGCCATGAGAGCGAACGTGGAGGCTTCTTTTTCTATTCCTTTAATAATATAATAGATTTCATAACCCTTTCTCCTCTCCCTTGGATGCTTATATATTCGCATCCTGCACAGCTGCCACAGCAACCCATTCCGGCCCAGCTAAGCGCACATTCTTCTTCTTCTCAAGTGAGGAACGCGACTTCAGCCTGACCGGGTTCTCTGTTGTCGGTTGATGAACAGTAGTCGTAACAACCCCCCTCCCCCCGTTCTTCAGAACCAGCTTGCCCCCAAGCCGGCGCATCAGGGTAGCGAAGACGAAGCGTCTGTGCATCTTCCCAAGTAGCTTTAGCAGAAGTTAAGCCAGTCTATCTCAAGCGAAGTTGCTCAATTGTACCGGCTCCTTTCTTGATCACTCGACGCGCCAATACTTGCACAGGCACCGACGGCGCTTGCTCGACAAAAACCGGAAGCCTGACGGGTTCAGCAAGAGTAGGAGGCAGAGCTTTACGAAATTGCGACACATGCAATACAGGATGGATAGAGCAGGTATCCGGCAAGGCCAAACGATAAGCTACTGCTCCCACCTTGCTTAACACTTGAAATGGGCCAAAATAGTGAAAAGCTAGCTTATGATTCGCCCGAGCTGCTAAAGAAGATTGAGCATACGGTTGAGCTTTCAAGAAAACCCAATCTCCTTTAGCGAAAACTCGATCTGAACGGTGCTTGTCAGCTTGCTCTTTCATTCTCTGTTGAGCACGCAGTAAGTGTTGACGAAGAAGCCCAGTAATCATACGCCGTTCTTGCCTCCATTCCTCCAGATCTGAGACTGCACAAGTAACTCCATCAAGGACCCCAAAATAACGAGGAGCATGTCCATAGAGAACCTTAAATGGAGAAGAACCCAGCACAGAATGATAGGCAGTGTTGTACCAAAATTCAGCCAATGCCAACCAACGCGACCACTTAGCTGGGCAAGCGTGAACAAAGCAACGCAAATACGTCTCGAGACACTGATTGACACACTCCATTTGCCCGTCCATCTGCGGATGATATGCAGAACTCATCTTCAACTGGGTATCAGCAAGTCAAAAGAGCTCGGCCCAGAGTGCACTGGTAAAGATGCGATCACAATCTGAAATAATAGCTTGGGGCAGACCGTGGAGCTTATATATATTATTGAGATAAGCAAGGGAAACATCAAATGCGAGAGGTGGCCCTGGCTGTGGCAGCCGACAAAGAGGAGCTGGGCGTCGGTGGCCATGTTCGCGCGCGCGGTACTCCTAGGTCGGGGCAGGGGGTGATGCGAGCACGGCGATGGTGCATCGACGAGGACAGTTGAGGGATCCGGTCTATCTAGTTTTTCGGTTGAAGGACGAAAATCGGATTCGTTGACAAGTTAAGGGACCTCAAGTGAACTTATTCCTTGTCACATTGGCCTCGCGTTGCAGTTGGCCGGGGGCCGGGGCGTGAGCCCAAATGCCCAATGATGCAGGCTTTCATCGGGCGAGGGCGCGAGGCCGTTCCGTGTGCGTGTGCCGTGCGGCCGTGCCGCCGTAGCAGGCTCAGAAACACGCGGGGCTCACGGTCACGGCTTTGCTTCCCTGACACTTGGCACGGCACACGGGCGCGGTAGCCCCGGTACGCGCTGCCGGTTGGCGAGAGGGAGGGCAAGACCCCGCGCCGGATGGATCATACTCAAACTGATGGATGGATGTAAAAGCAAATGTCACGAGCCGCGAGGAGCTCGCCTGCAACGCGAACCGCCTCGAATACGACGCGCGGCCGCGCAGGCGCAGGTGTCGGCGTGGGCGTCGCCGTGTAGCTGCACTGCACGTACGTACGCCCATGCAGCTACACGAGAGGCGAGGCGGCGAATCCCCCAGCCAGCGCCTCGTTTCCTTGACGCCCGCAGGCCGCAGGCAGCAGGGACCACGACACGACGACTCTGCTACTACGCCCTGCGGATCTGGACGCTGCGTGCAGCTTGCCGCTGTGCGCGCGTTTCCTGATCGATCGTCAATGAATCCGCTTTAGGGCCAATTTGTCGATGCATGCCATATCGCTACTGCTAGCTTTGACTCCTGCCGTGACGCGTTATGCGTGCAGCAATCCTGAACGAATCACTGGAGCATGATGTCATGATGATCGACCACCATGTCGTTTTTTTTTCTATTTGTTGGTCGAAACTTTAATCTGAAGAATGATATATATGCCAAACAAAATTACAATCATACTTTCGTCTTATGCTTTTCAATAGATCCAAGGCGCAATAACCTTACCACATCATTCCAGTCTTCCAGATGGCCTATATTACCTAGTCGTACATTTATTTTAGAGGATTTTGTGGGCAATTTTACCTCGGGCAACCACGCCCTTGTAGATGTCACCCATATCCGACAATACTCATGACAATATTTGTTGGTCTGGCTGTATAAAATTTTTAGATTCACCATTATATGTTTAATATAATTTTGTTGTATGGTAACAAAGACGCGCGCATTCATATACCCGTGAAATAAATCTGAATTCACTAAATTCTTGTTACAAGCACACTTGAGCGTGTAGTATTTAAAGGTTGTGCTATTCTTTAAAAATGATATGTTTTTGTTAATGAAGAAGCAATTCAAATGAACTAAATCACATACATTCTTGTTACAAGCACACTTGAGCGTGTAGTATTTTAAGTTTGTGCTATTCTTTAAAAATGATATGTTTTTGTTAATGAAGAAGTAAATCAGATGATTTTTATGTCCTATAACTAAATCACATCCTCCCTCTGGTCCCATAATTCGAGTCGTTTTGGACAGCGCCCCCCCCCCAAAAAAATATATATATATATTGAACTATGATTTTCTAATATAATATATAATATATAAGACTAATCTATATATCGTGCTCTAGTAGCTTCAAACTAAATATATTATAAGTTATTGATAGTTAAAGTAATCTTATCAAAGTAATTGTTTCACCTGAAACTTGTTCAAAACATCATGACCTATGGAACCGGACGAATAGTAAATAATATAAAAAAAATCCTGAACATAAAAGGGATAACTCTCTTGCAGATTCGAAGACTTTGTGAGCCTCAACGCCTCACAGGCGAAGGCATGGAAACAGAACGTTGAGAACTTCACAGCAGCTGCATGAGTGCAGTAATTAAATGTATGCTTGGACAGGTTTCTTCCCAGCTTCTGCTGGTCACTCATGTCACAGATGGCCAGAAGCCAGATGCAAATTCAGGTCGTTTGGAACAGTTTTACTACATAGCATCACAAAATGATTGGAGCAATTTATAATCAAGTACTAGTATTGAGCTTGAATAGCACAAGTCCTGCAGCTGGGCTGCTGGGGTGTGAAATGCAACAGTGGAGTGACATACTGACATGAACATACCGGCCCTCTACTGTTTTCAGTACTTCCATGATTTGCATCATGATAGAAAATTGCTTTAAGGTACAATGCCGTATGCAATACGGTCAGGACGCCCGATCTAGCGTGTGTTTAGTTCACACTAAAATTAGAAATTTGGTTGAAATTGAAATGATGTGACGGAAAATTTGAAAGTTTATGTGTGTAGAAAAGTTTCGATGTGATGGAAAAGTTAAAAATTTGAAGAATTATTTTGAAACTAAACACGGCGTTAAATTGTTTTTGCATTATTGCTTATTCGTTATCCAGTCTGCAAGATTTGCATTCGACGAAGTTTTTACATCGGTAGCAGATTGTTGCTCTTCCTCATGTTCTTGTTTTCAATCGAAATGCAACGATGTACTGAAATTCTGAGGAAAATAAATGGAAACTGAGCCGAACTGTAGGGCCTAGCTACTGCAGCAAAAAAAAAAAAGGACTGCATATGTAACATGAAACAATCAAGCCTTTAACTGAAAATAGCTGAGACAAATCCTTTCGAACACAGGTTCTCTCACCAATTTCTTCTCTATCAATATCGAATGCTAAGTTCCTTCTTAGTATTCTAATTTTTTTTCCTTTTAAAAAAAATGAAAATAGCTAATCTGGAGCCAGAGCGCTTTCTCGGAAAGTAAAATTACATCCGCAAAGCTACGCCATGCAAAGCTGCAAAGAAAGAAGAAAATTCGCTCCAACAGATCAACATTATCAGTTAACAAAGGCAGGCTACCGCCTACCGCAAAGAATGTACTAACCTTCCGATGGATTTCCTGGACCGCGCAATGAAACATACCTACATGCTTGCTCGCCATGGACAACTAAACAGCAGTTGTCAACTTGCAGAGACAAGCATGCCTGATGGTATTAACGCAAATGCTGGTTAAAGGGAATGAAGCCTGGTCCGAGGTCACCACCAGCCATGCATCATGCACACACACATCCATCAGAAATTCAGAACAAAGAAAAAAAAATGTGATGTAGGACAGCAGGAGGCCTTGAACCAGACAACAAACCCCTTAACCGAGAACATCAGCCAACCACCAAAGCAGAGAAAGAAAGAAAGAAGCAAGGATAGTTTTTAGAAGACGAGAACATCAGCCAACCATGGCAAGCTCAGCAGCCGACCTCCCTGGGGTTTTATGAGGCGGAGGCGGCGGCGGCGGCGTCGTCGTCATGACAGAAATAGCTGCAAGGCAAGACGTACACCACGCCGTGTGGCTCGGCAAGTCGGCAGCGTACTGGGAGGGTCAGTAAATTCCCCATTTATTGAGAGCTCATCGCACCGTTTTACTGTTTTGTGCGTTGCGCTGCTGCCGTGCGTTTCTTCGTACGTTTCCCAGGTGCAATCATGAAAAATCCTTTTAAGATACAAGTATGCAACAACTGCAGTAGAAAATATATATACTCCAGGGCTGCTAGTGTTACCTGGTTTTCTCGACAATAATACTACAGCTTCTACAACAAATTAAGATTGTTTCTCGACAATGCAATTAACAGAGGCTGTGGGCCTGTAGTTGTACATACAGAAGGGGCTATTGCATCATCCAACGATTCTACCCCCGTTTCAAATTACTTGTTTGTTTTAGTTTTTTCTTAAGTCAAACATTTATAATTTTAACGATCAATTTCTAGAAAATCATATAGTTTAATAAGATGTGAATTATATGTTATGAAAGATTTCTCATAGCGGATCTAAAAACATAAATCTTATAATGTTAAAATATATGAATTTGTTTGTCAAAATTAGGAATATTTGACCTAGGACAAGGCTAAAACAACAACTAATTTGAAACCGAGGGAGTAGGTATGTATTTTGGAAACCAGAATACCACACCAGATTGATTTCAACAGCAAACAGTACCTCACGCATGCAGGCCCAACAAAAACATTTCTATTTTAATCAACATGCACAAGAGTTGGAAAGCAAATAATATCCTATTTCCATTGCAATCTAAGGAATACTCACCTAGTTTATATTAACAGGATGGCACATGCGTACAAGAGCTCCAAGAGGTATAAATATCTCAGGCGTAGGAAGGAAGAGATCACTTGGGAGCTAACACTTCCGTGAAGAGCTTTCTTCACATAATCACATTACAAACTGAGCAGAAGTTTGGCGGGTAGATGCTGCCTTGGATGCCAAAGAAGAGATGTCGTCGACGGTTTCATAAAGGTCTTTCCTCATCCCAGATATTGATGTTTCCATGAACTCTTTGTACTCTGTAACCGAATCAATAAGTTTCAGCAGTTCTCTGGCGCACATCTGAATTTCTTCATCAGTTTCCCTTTTTGCATCTTCAAGCTTCTTTTCGGAGATCTGTTAAACCAAATTACTTATCTGACTGTTGGTGCATCTTTGCTAAGGCTGACAAGGGAACACGCTTAAGCAATAGAAAACATATAATGAGTAATATTCCGTACCTTTAAAAATTCTTCTGACTCCTTCTCAACAGTACTCAGGTGGTGATCCTTTTTCTCCAGCTCATCTTTCATTAGTCTAGCATCAGCCTTACATCTTGAAACATGATTCCCAATTTCAACATCCAGTGAATCCAATCGAGCAACCATCTGGGGAAAAATGAAATGTAATCAGCAAAATGTAGAACAGCACCACTCGTAGGCAACTATTTCTAGAAGGGCATAAGATAGAAAGTTATTATGATTATCCTACAGGCTACAGGAAAGTCCAACATTGATGAGTTGGGTGGTAAATACAGAATCCTGTGCTCATCTAGATTATGTATGTTCTGAATCACTGTGATAAGAACCTGGCATAAGTTCAACCGTATCAGATCACAGAACAATCCATTAGATGAATGAAAAGTGAAGCTTTCAACAAATCATTAAAGGATACAAACGCATCGCATATTTCTTATAGCCTCTATGCCATCATAAAGGTGATTGAAACCTGAGATAACAAATTTTCTATCAATTAAGTATGTGACATGACCAGAAGGAAAGCATTATCAAGTTAAGCCAACTCTGGATACAGTGAGGCAGGAAAACAAACATACGGTCAAGTGCTTTTAGCTCAGATGTACGTTGGACTGCTATAAAGTATCCACTATCCAATGTTTCCTTAAAGAGCCAATAAGAACAGTTGCATGAAAAAGCAAGTAACAAAATAAAATTAAATGTGTAAGGTTCTCATAAACCAGACATCACCCCATCCATGCATTGAGTAGGCATAGCAGAATAGTAACATTTTACACATGAAAACCATTCATGTGGGTCTGTTTCAGTAAATGAGCAATAGAACAACCCAAATACCAGCATTACAGCAAATTACAAGAGAAAATGCAATTCCTAAACAGATAAATCATAAATGAGTCTAGAAGGGTTAATAAAAGAAAGCAGACTTCATTTTTGGTTGTGATATGCAAATATAAGCTGGACTGACCTCATCAGTTTTGGTCTGACAAACTGAAATATGGTTCTTTTTCTCAGACAGAATTTTAGCATTTCGTTGTGACTGTTTTTCTAGCTCAACTGACTCATCATGCTTTAAGATGGATATCCTTCTAGCCTCGTCAGCAAGAGAATTGAGTGCAGGTTTCATAATAGTTTTGTAACTGGTTCCTAGCAGTTCAACCGGGGAGGACGCTTTTGTGTTTAGCATGTACTGGAAATCAATACCAGGTTTCAATCTGCAAAATGGCACAGGAAAATTTGACGATGAGGCAACAAGCACATAATATGGTTGGATGCTTTGAGCTAACAGAATAATTTCTAGATAAAACTACAAACAGAATCAAAATAAAAAGGATAATTGATCTTAATTTTGCATTAGTGCTTTCACCTACTAGCTGGGCGTTCACATGTAATGTCAGGGACATATAAAATAACCTAACACTTTATACAACTATGCACCAATAGTGTTTTTTTTTCTTCACTTTTTCCCTCTAAAAATACAATGCAATAGCTGGGTAGTGGAGCATTACAAGTGATCATGTAATTCTAACCACCCGATATATCAGTTTCCCAGTCAAATATCACAGAATTAGCACATAGATTCTACCTGATTCCATATTATTTCAATATCGCAAAATGATGCCAGCCATGCATATTAAGTCATCGCATGCAATTGCACATCTTGATATGTCAGCAACCTAGGAGGTGGGCTCAAAAATGCTTATGTCGCTACAAGCAGGAAGGTGCCATTGGTGCTTTTTAGGGTGAAGCGAGTATATGTGTTAATTAAGTCATACTTTGACAGCAAACTTAATGTGTTTTATTTTGTATTTTACCACTAGAATACATAGATATGTCATCAAGTATACTTCTACATATAAAACAAATGGTACGGTTAGCATTGATAGTTTCACATTGCTTAACTACAGCAGGTTAATTGGTTCCAACAAACATGAACAGATATGATGAACCAGGAAATTCAAAGTTGTTGCAGGGCATCCTTACTTTCTGAGGGCCTGGTTGCACTGCTCCACAAGTCCCTCAATCTCCTCAAGCTTCCCAACCACCGCAGCTTCGAGCTCCCAACCCTTCTCCTCCAATGTCGCATTCCCATTCTCCAACTTGACATTGTCACGCTCCACTGACTGGATCTCCCTCTGCATCCGATCGACATCTCTCACATTCACAACCTGTGCGTCCACCTTCTTCATCAGCTCCTCGTTTTCAGCTGCTATCCGCTGTTGATCCATCAGCTTGGCCTCCAATTCCTTCTCCAAATGTACAGATGACTCTTCCTTCTCCTGTATCTTCACTGTCCAACTCTTCACAACCGCTTCAAATTTCTCCACGTCGGCAGTGAGGGCCTCCTTCTCTGCCTGCAGTGCCTCCAGCCGCGAGGGTCCTGAGGTGAGCTTAGTCCTCTTGGACTCCAGATCCAGTGCCTCCTTCTCCAGCGCCTGTGAGGCCTCGACGGCTGCCTGCGCATGTGCACGGGCTTTGGAGGAGTACTCCTCGTCGAGAGACGCGACCGAATCATCGTCCCCAGAGATGAACAGCGAGTAGCTGTTGGTAATGTAGAGCATGAGGTCATTTGAGGCGGCAGGAGAGTCGTCGCCGCCGGCGCCGCTCTCACTGGAGTTGACGAGGAGGGTGAGCCAGTAGAGGACGGAGAGGAGCGGCGGCCAGGAGTGCGGGGTGCCGGGGGCCTTGAGGGCGGAGCGGGTGAGCTTGAAGGGGCAGCGGAGGACGCGGAGGACGAAGAGGAGGTCGTCCTCGAACGCGCCGTGGAGGGGGAAGTCGAGGCACTCGAAGAGGTGGCGGAAGGCGGCGACGATGTCCTTGGCGGAGGGGAGAGGCGGGCGGAGGCTGACGGCGGGGGCGAGGTAGGCGTTGACGACGCGGAGGGCGGCCGCCTGGGAGGCCCTGTCGGAGAAGTTGGTGACGGGGGCGGCGAACGAAGGGCCCGTGCCGATGGAGGACGGCCGGCTGCTGCAGAGGCTGGCGGCGTCGGAGTCGCGGCGGGAGAAGGCGAGGTCGAGGTTGCGCGGGTGGAGGACGTGGGGATCCAGCAGCGGGGTGCGATCCGACGCCGCCGAGGGCGCCAGGGAGGACTTCGGGAGGCGCCTGCCCCCTCCGCCGCCGCCGCGCCGCATTTCCGGTGCCGGAGTTGGGGGATTTGGGGTTGGGGTTGGGGTTGGGGTTTGGAGAATTGAGATTTTGAAATTGGAGAGCGGAAGGGGAGAATGATGGGGACAAATTTTTGGGAGGCGTGGGTTTGAGGGCTTTGACCGAGCGGAAAGTGCGCATGGCCCATTGGGCCGGTAATGTATGGGCTGCACGAGCGGCTTGTAAGTTTAGAAAAAGTTCACGTTTTAGATTCCTCAATTTGTCGCCCAATTGGATTTTCATCCTTGAACCCAAAAACCAAATACAACCGGACCCTAACTTATAAAACCAGTGCAAACGAGATCCCTCGATAGTATTGTCCCCAATTTTGGCAAACGTGGCACCTACGTTGCTCATTTGACTAGGTCTTCGTTCCACGTGTCATTGACGTGGCGCTTACGTGACAATTCAATCCACAAAAAACTAAAAGCAAAAAAAATGAAAATAAAAAAAGTAAAACAAAATATGCAGGACCCACATGTCAATCAAAAATAAAAAATAATGGGACTCACATGTTAGTGAGTCCCACTTCTTCAACCTGACCCTTCTCTACCTCACTCTCCTTCTCCAACCACACCGGCAAGAGTGGAGCGGCGTGCAGCAGGCGGCGGGAGAGGAGCGGCATGCGGCGGCTGGCGGGTGACAGGAGAGGAGCGACACGCGGCGCATCTCCATCCTCGCGCCAACCTCCGTGACCGGTGTGCTCCTTATCTCCATCATCGCCTCCTCCGCGAACGCACGTGGTGGCGGACCCGACGCCGCGAAGGTGTCCCTCCTTCCCCAAACCGGTACAACCCCGCTGTCGCTGCCACCGCCATCGTCACCAAAGGCTAGAGCAGCTAAGGTTCAGTGGTAGCGGCGGAAGAGAGAGAAGAGGGGGCAAAGACCCGGAGGAGGAGAAAACCCTGGCGAGTGCCCCCTACCCCCCACGCCGAGGCGGAGGAGGCAACGAACCCTTCCGCGGAGTCATCCATCGCCATCCTGGAAGAATCTGGCGGCGAAGAAGCTGAGCCGGCCGCAGGGGAGGCAGCTGCCGACATCTCCCCGCTCGTGGCCACCGTCATCGAGAGCAACTCGAGGCCGCCGCTGACATATCCCCATCCCGCGGCCACCGTCAGTGAAAGCACCTCCTCACTGAGGCCGACGCTGACATCTTCTCGCCCGCGGCCACCGTCAGCGAGATCAGCTTCGCTGCTGACATCTCCCTGTCCCATGGCCACCGTCAACGAGAGCAGCTCCGCACCGAGGCCGCCGCTGACATCTCCACCATCAGCGAGAGCAGCTCCCCGCCAAGGTCACCACGGACATCTCCCTACCCGCAGCCGACAAGGAGGAGGAGGAGGAGAGTGGCTCCTGGGCTCCCGACCCTTGGTGCCCTTTTGCCGCTGACCGCTCCGGCCGCCGCCCATCCCACTCCGCTAACGGTGAGAGAGAGGGGATAGATGATAATGGCATGGTCTATTGACAAATTAATGAAATTATTAAAAACATGAGTAGTAAGGATGATATGTGGGGCCACATGGGCCCCAATATTTTTTTATTATTTTGTGTGTGAAACTGACACGTGGGTCCCACGGATTCTCTTATTTTTCTGGATCGAATCGCCACGTCAATGATACGTGAGACAAAAATCTAGTCAAAGGAGCCACGTCAGCCAAAACCAGGAATAATACTGATGAGGAACCTCGTTTGCATGGTTTTGTTAGTTGGGGGATGTGTTGTATCCGGTTTTGTGGTTCAGGGCGAATTTCAGACTAGGTGACAAATTAAGGGACCTAAAGTGAACTTATTCCTTTAAGTTTTAAGCATCTTATATACTAGTTTTTTTTTTTTAAAAAAAAAGCACTAACTGTGCATATTTTATACTGAACATAGTGATAGAAAATTACATTCCCAAGTGCACAAAAGAGAAAAAAGAGAGAACAAGTTCGTCCTACCGGGTATTCACGTCATCGCATCTTCATTTGTCTTTGCAAAGAGATCAGGTACCGAGGTCGTCTCACTATGCTCGAAGGTCATTTGGTTACTCTCTTTCCAAATTTTCCACGAGAGTAAGAAACAAGCATGAGAGCATTTCCCATCACTCCTATCTTTAGAATTTAGATAGCTTTGGGGAGGAAAACTATTGGAAAAATGCTAAAACGACCATTGCTGTTACCATTTTTCTTCTCAAAAACTAAATTGGAACGATAGAGTAAGAAACAAACAACGGTATCAGGAGTCGGAACAGCAACTTTCTATCGTCAATTTAAAGTATTCATTTCATTTCTCTTTCTTCAAACAATGAACAATATACATAGCCAGATCTTTACCTCCCATGGCTAACAACAATACAGTTATTGGTAATTACAAGCTACTAGTATACAGGAAGGAATCAACCGCTAGCCTCTTAGAAAGGGAAATCATGGCCTATGTATGCAGTATGTACTCTAGGATATTATCAAGAGTACACTACTACAACTTAGATATTGTTTTTTTTTCTCTCATCTTGCATACGCATGCATGCAGCATTTCGTTTCTAATTGGCACGACACGTATATACATCGTCGTACGTATACCAAAATAATTAATGCGGTGCGTATAATTTAGTAGTAGGAGTTTAGAACACGATGAAAGAATTGGCCATGTCGTACTTCATCTTCTCCAGGTTCGGCGAGACGGCGAACTTGATCATCGGCGGCGGCCCGCAGGCGAGCGCGAGCGTGTCGTCGCCGCCCTCCGGCACGTGCTCCCGCAGCACCTCCTCCGTGACGAACCCGACGCCGTACTTCCACCCTTCCTCCGGCCGCTTCACCTGGTCGATGACGTACCACACCTTGAGCCTGTCCGGGTACTCCGCCGCCCACCGGTCGAGCTCGTCGCGGAGGAGGATGTCGTCCTCCGTCCGGTTCGCGTACACCAGGTGCATCTCCGTCGTGTCCTCCGGCTGGTCGCGCAGCACCGACTGGATGACCTGGTACATGGGCGTGATCCCGCTCCCGCCGGCGATCATCGCCAGCCGCCGCGCGTTCCGCGGCTTGCCGTTGATGACGAACTCGCCGCGGCCGGTGTACTCGACGTGGCCGAGTGGCCCCTTGACGTCGATGTAGGCGCCCACGGGGAGCGAGTCCAGGTACTGCGTCATGAGCCCGCCATCGGGGAACTTGGGGTGCTCGTTCTTGAAGTACACCTTGATGAGGAGGTCGAAGTGGCCGACCTCGTCGACCATGCTCGTCGGCGTGTACGCCCGCATGCACAGCTTCCCTTCGATGCTGGCGCACACGAAGATGTGCTTGCCGACGGGGAGGCCGAGCACCTGGTCGGAGGACGGCAGCGCGAAGCGGAAGAGGCGGACGTCGCGGGAGAGCTCCTTCTTGTCGACGAGTTGGCAGGGGACCTTGTCGCGCGGGCTGGAGAGCGCGACGGGCGCCGGCGCCTTGATGGCCTCGCGGATGGGGGCGAGCTGGGAGAGGTTGGACGCGCCGTGGACGGAGTTGTCGGAGCTGTACCCGGCGCCGGTGGTGATGAGCTCGCCGATGCGGTAGGTGTCGAGGAGCGCCTTGGCCTTGTCGGAGTGGATGGCGTCGAACTCCTCGGTGCAGTCGGTGCCGGCGTTGATGAGGATGCTGTCGGCGCCGCCGGGGTGGTCCTTGAGGAAGGCCGTGCAGTCGTAGACGTGACCGTGGACGACGATCCACGCCGAGTCCTGCGACGAGTGCTTGCGCACCTCGGACATGGTAAACTGCTTGCCGTCGGTGGTGTTCATGAACGGCGTCGACGTGCTCCGCTTCAGCCCCGGTGCGGCCGCCTCCGCCGTCTCCAGGTGCTTCTGCCTCGCCATCCACCCGCCGGTCTGGTTCCCGGGCTGCGTCGGGTGCTCGAACACCAGCCCGATCTCACCCTTGTGCGGCCGGCACACGTTCACCTTCACCTTGAACCAGCAGTTGTTCATCATCCCCTGCAAAAACCCAACCGATCGAATGAATTTGCCATCGTCGTCTACATCGCCGTCGCCTTGGCCGGAGACGGAATGAAGCACCTACCATGAGATTCCAGATGAGCTTCTCGGGCTGGGTGTTGTGCGACTGGTCCCAGGCGCGCACGGCGATCTCCTTGGCGCCGAGGAGGTCGAGCACCTCGACCTCGACGGACCAGAAGCACCAGCACCAGTGCTTGCCGTACTTGGTGGGCTTCTCCGGGAGGTCCAGCACGCACACCAGCCATGTCTCGCCGCCGTCCAGCGTCACCTCCACCCGCGTGATCCTCTTGCCGCCGCCTACCAAACCACAGAGACAAAGATCACCATCAGGCCCATCGCTCCATCATTCCCTGCGCCTTCAATTTCTTTTTTGAAGACCCTTCATTTTCTTTTTGTTAAACAATGAAAATTTTACAGTACTTAGAAAAAATACCTTGGGTACTTAAATCTTACAACAAAAATTTTGATAGCTCGAAATATGTAGTACTTGAAAGTATCAAATTTTATATTAGAAAAATACGGTATATCTCGATATATTTCTTAAGAATGATATAGAGGCCAAATTTCTATCCATTATCTAAAATAAATCTTCTTAAGCATTACCCTACACAAAAACTCATAACTCACTCCACCCCACCAAACTTTGGTGATTCCCTATTCACTGCCCCTTAATTACCATTTACTGTTAGCAAGATTCGACACGTTTCGCCACCAGAATGGATATTCAGTGTCCATGTTGCTGCCGGGTTCCAGCTGGGACAATCCCAACAGCTTCCGACACGAAGCAAGCCAACTTGTTCTTAAGTTGTTAATATAATTTGGCCGAGTAATATAATTGGCCGAGTAATATAATTTGGCTTCCAACATCGCCGGAGGACTACAAGGTTGGATGCCAGATGATGGCTCTCTTACTGTGTTTAGTCGCACTTATCCTTAATAACTTTTAGGTTAGTCCAATGAGAGTACTGATGATAGTAGCATCATTGGTGACCATAAGGTCAATCATCATGCATGATAGGTCCCTTTTGCACACAAAATGTCTATTTACACGCGTCTAATTACTACCCAAGTACTAATGCATGCCTTCTGTTAATATACGGAAATTTAAGCTAGTACCAAGTATA